CAGTTCCTTTTCATAAGTACTACGCCAATCCAGCTATTGTCTAACTTGTACCTGTGCATCTGGTTTTCCCTACTTAACTGCACAATCCTACATTTTTTATCAGTGAATTTCATTTTTCTAGGTATGGTCTAATGTTCATCAAGGCTCATTGAACATTCAGTCTATTTGACACATTAGTAATCATCTTCTTTCCCAACTTTGATGTTCTGCAAATGAGATGAATTCCCTTTTATCCCATCATCTGTGTCACATGTATTAAATGGAATGCATCTGATGAGAATTAGACTTCCTGTTAAATAAGGTTTCTTCTTATGATTCTTCTAAAATTTATCCTCCGTGGTTTGCTTTGAATATAATGGACACATGTTTTACCCAGAGTTCTAACAAACAAGAGAGAAGATAATTGAAGAAATGTGAAGAAAGACTAAAGGAAATGAATTTATTTGCTTAAAATAAAAGAAGAAGGGAAATGGAGATATTTCAGGTTGATGGGTTGAATGTCAGGGCCAATTGGTTGTAGGCTGGGAGAATAAATGCTAGAAGCTAAATTCAGAATAAATTGGCCAGTATTTTCCTCCATAAAGCCAATTGTTCAAGGCACTCTTGAGGTAGCTAGATAATTTTCTGCTTTTTTAATACAGAAAATGGTCACTCAGCAATTGGTTTTTATTTCTGTGATTTAAGATCCATAGAACAAATATATTGAAGGGCATTTGGTTATAATGCATTGGTTTGTTAATATCTTAAAATATGCATATATTTCACATAGAATGAAACTGTACATAATCAATTTAACTTTTCCATTAACAAAATTCCACAGTTCTTCTGCTGGGAAGAATCAAAATGTACCTGATTATTCTACCTGATTATTCTTTGGGAGTCAGGCAGTATATAAATTTAATAATAACTGGCAATTGTAACATCACATGGTTGTGAACAGATAATAATACTACCCAATGGACTTTCTTATTATCTGGAAATATTGAATTTATCAGATGTGAACACTCTAATTTTACAAAGGACACACTATCTTAGCACTGCCTATATTCTAATCTGTCAGCGCTGTGACAACTGAAAACTGTAGCCATTTTACCTTTTGCCTTCATTGCTTTTTTTGGTTGTTTAGAAATTTCAGATGGAGAAGGGGGAGGGGGGAATGCTTGAGTTGTTTCAGTTAGCCATAACAATTGCAGCTGTGTGAGAATCAAGGTCAATGCTGGAAAAAGTTTTTGTGGGTTGAAAAGTTGGGAGGAGAGCCCGCATTTTAGAATTATTGGTAAATGTGATTTATGACAGGCTTTCTGGGGCAAGAATTGCAACTTGTTACTTTGTAGCCGAGGGAGGGAAGTTTAGTCTTGGGTTCACCTATGTATGTGCCGATATCTAGTTTCCTAAATAAAATGTTTTTTAAGGAAGAAATCCTTGCCTTGAAGTTCTTTTAAATGGTTTCATCTATCGGAACCATGACATAAGCATTACCTTAATAATTATTGATTTTGGGTTTGAATTATTACATTTCTACCAGTGTTAGACTGCGAAACTAATTGTGGATTGCCCGCACAAAGTAATTCTGTAATTATGTCTCTGGTTGAGTACAGGATAAGACTGCAAGGAACCTCTAATAACTTTTGGCTATTATGATGATTCTGGTACAACTTGTGCAGCTTTTTGGTTCCTGAAGAGTGACACAGTGGCCAGGCATCATAATAGTCAGTTAACTACTACCTGCTGCTGATTATGCAGGGTCTTAACTTACTGAAAACTAACATGTATGTAGTTTGCAGGAAACCAGCGGCATCTGAGTGATAGGGATATGCACAGTGTGTGGGAGACAGACTTCATGTGGCAGATGTACATTTTTTTTAATTTAGGGTTATGTCTTACCCTTATCTAGGAGCTCAAAGCAGCTTGCATTTCATTTTATTCCTACAATAGTCTTATGAGGACTGTTGAGCTGAGGGAGTACTTGGGTAAAAGTCATCAGGTGAGTGGCCATAGCTAAAAATGGATTTGAACACAGGCAACTCCAACTTCTATTCATATTTTAGTCAGTTAGCACTACATAGTAGTGTAGTATATGTATGTCTTGCCAGTTTTCCAGAATCCTTGGGACATCCACAGTTCATGTATGTCTTGCCAGTCCTTAGGATCCTCGAGGCATCCAAAAAAATGACCTGACCTGCTTTGTTTCTGGAATCCACTATTTAGTGTCTGGTTCTTCACAGGTACCGGGCTGGGGGTGATCACCTTTCAGGACACCGTCAAAATCGACATGGCGCCGGTCCCCTTGGGGGTGGCCACTCCCGGTGATCTGGGGACCATTTGGATATCCTGGATGAACCCCCATGTTGTTTGGAATGTGGCTGTCAGCTTTCCTCCCGGACTCTTGAAAAAAAAGGAAGACACAGAGGCACCTTGATTCAATCAGCTCTGGTTTACTTTGACACAGATTTCCCCCTCTCCTATCGCACTCAATGCCCCTTCCCTAATCATCTGATAAACTATCTGGACTGCCTAGAACCACTGTCCCTTCCTATGTTCCAGGAAGCCCCTTTGTTCATATCCTATCTTTCACCATCTAATTTTCTGTTAGCACAGCTCGGCTCCTATTGTTATTTCGATATTTCCTCTGCTTGCAATTTCAGTTAGCTAGCGACTTCTGCTTTTCACATTTGTACCTGTCAACAGTATATATTATTATTTCTGATCTTTAGTTGGCTTCTGCTTCTTCTGACAACCTTTAGACTCATTAGAAATTTCTGAATAATACTTTATTCCTTTCACTACTTACTAGAAAATCTGATTCTCCTATAAATCTACTAATATTGCACAATAGCACTGGAGATTGGTGATTTTAAGATGCTAGCTGGAAAATTCTGGATGTTGAAATCCATACATGTTAAAGCTACCAAGGTTAAGAAATACTGCTATGGGATATTGCAATCAATTTCCTATTTTTATGCAAATAATGTCAAACTAGTGGGAGAAAATTGGAAGCCTTGTTAAAAGAACCCATATTCTGATATCCTGACCACTGTTTTATTGTCAGATAAAGTGAATTGAAAGCTCTGACCATTGACTTTGCCTCTCACCCAAACTCTCAGCAACATTTCTAACCAGCGACAAGTGTTTTTACTTTTCCACTTGAGGCTGGTCAGAGCTTCTTCTAACTGGAGTCTCTGTGGATTTTGCTCCACTAGCTGTTACTGATTATAGGGGGCAGTGCTCATCTCCATTTCAAGGCCATTCAGACAGCACTGTATGAAGACATTGCCACAGTCATGTGGCCAGCATGATGTCATAGAGTCATGTTACCTTCCCACCAAAGTGATACCTATTTATCTACTCAAATTTGCATGCTTCTGAACTGCTAGGTTAGCAGGAGCTGGGGTAAGAATGGGAGCTCATCCCATCATGTGGTGCTCGGGTCTCAAACCTGGGCTGCCAGCTTTCCAGCCAACTATCTCAATGTCTTAACTGCTGAGCCACTGTGCCTTCTAGCTCAAAGGCCTCCAACCTTTCCGGGCTCGCAGACTGGAAAGAAGGAGAGCAGCTTCAAAATTGGTATGTGCGTGTGTGCAACTCATTCATGCAAGCCGCATGCACTGGTGCCGTACGCATGTGTGAATGGCCGCGCATCCCTCATGATGGCTAGCAGGTCCATTTGCACATGCACAAATGGGCCACACAACTCACACAGGCTAGTGGCCCATTTGTGCATGCACAAATGGGCCACAAACACCCGCCCCCTCTAGTGTGCATGCACAAATGGGACCACAAGTGCTAGTGCAAGTGGGGGAGAATGCATGTCCATGTGTGTGCGCACTGGCCAGCCATTTCTGTGGCCTGCTGGCTAAGAGCCCGTGGCCTGCTCCCAGGCCGCAGTCCATTGGTTGAGGACCCCTATTCTAATTAACCAATGAGGAAATGCTAAAAACATCAGATAGCTGAAATTCTTCCTAGTGCTTCCTTCACTGTGTTTACTTTTCATACTGAAGACAAAGAGTTATTGCTGTTGAGAACAACAACAGAAACTAGCCTTTAATCAGGGATGTTGCAAAGCTGCCTACCTGAGGAGCAAGAAGCCATAGGGCAGTGATGACAAACCTTTTAGAGACCGAGTGCCCAAACTGCAACCCAAAACCCACTTATGCATCATCGGGTGCCGGGTGGGTGTGGCCCATTGGCTGGGTGTGGCCCATTGGGTGGGCACGGCTATGGTGGTAATGGCAAACTGGGTGGGACTAAAAAGCTCAATCAATCAATTCCAACTTTGCAAGATCTTTTTTTCCTGCGAGAAGTGAAATTGATTGATTGAACTTTTTTTTTTTTGCACTTGGCAGCAGAGGCCTAAAGTGAAAAGGTTTTATAAAACCCAGCTGAACGCCTAGGACTGGGGCAACGGCGTGCGTGCCCACAGAGAGGGCTCTAAGTGCCGCCTCTGGCACCTATGCCATAGGTTTGCCACCACTGCCATACTTTCACTTTGAGAAAGGACATCATAGGGCGTGGCTTGCCTCTTCGCATTTCTCCAGCATTTTCATTCAAGATTTGTAGGTTTTATTAGAAGCAGCAGACTGCTTAGCTACTGCAAGGGGGTGCCAATTCTTAATAGGGAACACTTTGGACTGTAGTGTTTTCTTGTGTCTTGATTTTATTTAATACTGATAATTGTATGCCACTTCCCATTAAACAACACACATACACACACACACACACCCAAAAACAAAACAAAACAAAACAAAACCCCTAGAAGCAGCTTTAAGTCATCCAATATGAAACAACCATGTAGGAAAAAAAGTTGAGAAAGTTTTTACAATGTTATGTACCACCCTTGCTTTCTACTTTTTAAAGAAACATACAAGGGAACTGCACCACCTTTTGGTTGTGGTTTATTAGGGCTTAGAGTGGAAAGTGGGAAATAGTTTAATTTCTAGATCTGGAGAGGGGTGGAGCATGGAGTCAATTATGATTCACCTGCTTGACTTCCTAAACTGGTTCAAAGTTTTAGTTATGCTGTAGGAATGGTTGGCAATGTCAGATTATATTACTAAAGGACTACCTGTGACATCTGAAGTGTATGTGCCAGCAATACATATGAATTCATCAGTATTTATTGGTCAGGTAAGAAAATTTTTTCATGCCAATTTGCACATTTTGAACAGAGTATTGAAGGGGAATTTTTAAAGTTTTGACTGGATAAATTTGTGGTGGAATAAGGGTTCTGCATTGCAAAAGCAAATGATCTATTATTGTGCTTCTATAGCCTGGATTTTATAAAAGGAAGGTAAGAAGCACACAGATTCTTGACTATTAAAAAGTTAATTATATCAGAGCTCGCAATTTTCGTATAAGGATGGTATCTGGCAGGATCACTATAGATAATAGTCTATTATTCTATTGGTTTAAACTAATATATAGCTAAAATATTTGAAACAATTTATTTATTAGATCCTGAAGCTTCTTTCCCCCCCCTACTTCCCAGGTCTTCCAAACTAAAAGAAATCAATATGAAAATGAAGAAATGAAAATAAACTACCATGGTACTGAAATTCCATATCGGACTGAATGTCAGGTAGTACATAATGCAAATGTATATTGTTGGACTCTCCAGTTAACACCAATGTTTATTAAGACCTAGGAGTTGTATTTCTGAGTAATTTCTCAGACTGCAGGTTGGATTTAACATTTTTATTCTGCCACTGTGAATTCCTTTGTGCAGAGATAAGTTGAAAATATATCACAGGGAAAAAGGGGCAGGAAGTGATGGCATTATAATAATTCTTTCCTCTCCCCCCTTTTGAAGTCTCATGTTTGCGATTTTTGGACTGGATTTTGTGGAAGAAAAGTGGATAGCATGAATGGATGACAATTAGTTCTTCATTCTACTAATGGAAAAAAACCCTGGATCAAAAATCTCCAGTTAACTAAAGGGGATTTTTTATTTGTAGAAGGCTTTTGTAACCAGAACAAACAGTTGCCTGTTTCTGTTGATGAACATCAAAGGTTTTCCTCACGTAGTAATAGTAATAGTAGTAAAGTTGGAAGGGACCTTGGAGGTCATCTAGTCCAACCCCCTGCAGGAAACCCTACACCATTTCGGACAGAGGCTGTCCAGTCTCTTCTTAAAAACTTCCAGTGTTGGAGCATTCACCGCTTCTGGAGGCAGGTTGTTCCACTGATTAATTGTTCTCACTGTCAGGAAGTTTCTCCTTAGTTCTAAGTTGCTTCTCTCTTTGATTAGTTTCCACCCGTTGCTTCTTGTCCTGCCTTCAGGTGCTTTGGAAAATAGCTTGATTCCCTCTTCTTTATGGCAGCCCCTGAGATATTGGAATACTGCTATCATGTCCCCCCTTGTCCTTCTCTTTGTTAAACTAGACATACCCAATTCTTACTCCATTCTTTTAGCATTCCATTTTTTAAGATGATGCTCTCTAGCCAACAATGGCCCTGTTGGATGGGGAGGATGGAAAGGGTGATTCAGCCCAATTGGATGTCAGTTAATTGGAGAAGACAGTAATGGAGGAAATGCAATTCTTCTGTCCTCTCCTCTATTTCCTGCAGGGCAAGGGTACAAGGGATACAAATGGCAAGTGTTGCATGCATTCCAGTTCATGTTCCAGGTTACAAACCATGCTGTTCCCATAAATTCTATGTGTTGTGATTATAACTCTGGTGTTTATACTAGGAGGCATGTTAGATATCACATTTCTTCCTTAGATTTTCACAAAGATCTTTCCAGACCTAAAATTATTGCCAGTGAACATAAAGAAGGGGAACACTGCTATAATCCTAACACCTTGAATATTCCTATGTGCATGTAGACTAAGCAGATATAAGGCACTTCAGCCATTAAAAGTGGCATTTTAATATTAGCGAATTCAAATAGAATTGAAGAGACTTATGTCTGAAACTGGAGAGCTGTTTCCTATCAATACAGTCTAGATTATCAAGGAAATTTGCCAAAAATTGGTATCTTGAGCATATGGACATAGCTTATATACAAGTTACTTACATTAAGCTCTCTGCCCATTCTGTGTGTAAACTTAAGAGGAAAGGTGGTGGTAAATACTGTTAAGTTATTTATGCCATTATTTGGGAAATCTTTAGGTCAAAACACCAGCAGATGAAGAAAACACAAGAAGTGTTGAATGTAATACAACAGAGAGCTGCTTTTGCGATGAAGTTTCATTGCAGGTCAGTATAATTCTTGAAAATTTTCTGATAACATTAAGAATGTTTAGTTCTCCCCCATAGGACAATGGTAAATACTATTAAAGTTATTTATGTCATTATTTGGGAAAACTTTAGGTCGAAACACCATCAGATAAAGACAACACAGGAAATGTTGAATGTAACAGCAGGGAGAGCCATCCTTCCTATGAAGCTTCAATGCAGGTTAGTATAATTCTTGATGGTATTATGAAAAGATTTTCTGGTAACATTAAGAAAGTTTAATTCTTCCTTCTTATATACTTTATGGAATTCTCCATTCTTCATCATATACAAAATATTTTGATTAAATGGTAAATAGGGGGAAAAGAATGATTGTTTAGAGAGAAATGACACATTGCATTCCTTCTTATGTGTCAACAATGGAATGTACCTTTTCCTCAAACAGACTTCCCCTGTTTCAAAAACTACCCTGTTTGAGAATGCTGGCAGTTATAATTCAACATAACCAGAGGGCTTTTTTATTAGGCAAGTTTCTTCTTGATAAGAAGAAGAGGTTTTGAGCAGAGGAAACTCAGAGGATAGAAAAGTTTGAACTGTTTGAACTGAACTATTTCCCTCATGTTAGTTGCCTCTATCATACCAGAAGATCCCATATTTTCATAAGTTAAACACTATAGGAGGAAAAAAAGTTGAATAGGGGAGAATCAAAAGGAGAAAAATTTTGGAGTGAAAAAATATTAAGCTCCTATCCCCTCACTCCTTCTCAGTTTAGAACACTTAGCTATTTGTTACCTGATACATTTAGATTATCCTGTAGCACGTTTTGTTTTACAGGATGGGCCCATCCCTAAATGAACAACGACTGCAAGATCCCAGAGATAGCCAGGAAAAATTGCGTTACTGTTTACACTATTGATAATATTTAAAAATCCTCATCTGTTTATTAGAATAGAAATCTTGCCAGCAGACAATGTGTATCTGGTATTTATTTATTTAGTAAAATGATTATTCATTCTAACCTTAGATGCTTTTGATTGTCTAGATTGGAGACTCCTCAAACACTTGCCGCTTCCAGTGGGCATAAGATAGCAGAGTTAACTTAAGCAAATAATTATCAGGAGGAATTTTACCATATAGCAAGAGAAATGGACACACTATCCCAGTGATGGCAAACCTTTTGGTTTCTGCATGTGAAAAATTTGGCAAATGTATTTATTTATAAAATGTATTGGCTGTCCATTTTACACAGGGTAACTCTGTGTGGCTTACAATCATTATACATATGTGTGTGTGTGTGTGTGTGTGTGTGTGTGTGTGTGTGTGTGTGTATAGCACCTGTCCACCCTAGATGAGTTCAAATCACCAGGACCAGATGGACTACACCCCAAGGTTCTCAAGGAACTGGCAGATGTGATCTCAGAACCACTGAACTATATCTTTCAAAGATCCTGGAACACTGGGGAACTACCAGAGGACTGGAAAAGAGCTGATGTAGTTCCCATCTTCAAAAAAGGGGAAAAAAATGGATCCAGGAAACTACAGACCTATCAGCCTGACCTCAACACCTGGGAAAGTCTTGGAAAAGATAATCAAGCAACAAACCAGCGAACACCTAGAGGCAAACAAAGTCATTACTAAAAACCAACATGGGTTTGTCAAAAACAGATCATGTCAGACAAATCTTATTGCATTCTTTGACCAAAATGCATCTCCCATCTCCCATCTCCCCAGGATCTGCTATGTGCCACCTACTTTCAATCAGTGCTCTCTGACAGGCCCTTGCGGCCCACCCAGGGTGGTATAAAACCTTCATTCATGAAACAGCTTCAGAGGATGTTCTCCTACAACCTCCAAAAACTGTGTGAAAGCATATACTGTTCTTGTGCAATGTTTGGCAGCTGTGGAGATTACATAAGAGCATGGCCCTCTTGTGCAACTTCCAGAGGGCACACCCTATTCTTTTACAGCCTCCAAAAATCTCATGAAAACAGGACATTCTTCCAAGAATAGTAGTTGCCAAGTGTTGTTAAATGTGGATGTTGTTGCGTCCTTCGCGAAATGGCAATGACACGAGAAGCAGTTGTAGTCCTCAGGAACTTTATTTCTGTTCAGCATACTGGTTACAAGACGCCGACAACGCCCAAAACTCCCGGCCTCTTATATAGGCCATTCCCGGGTCAATCTGCAACTTTTGGCGCGCCAGCACTCGCGCATGCGCACAAGTACTGGCGACAGCCTGTCTGGTCCCGGGCAGCTTGCACCTGCCCGGGACCGCCTGCAATGCCTCGAGCCTGCTTCCACAGGCTCAGGACATAACACCCCTTCCCCCCCGGCTAAGACTTTGATCATGCAATAATAACATACAACCTCGTGCAAGCATAGTGCCCATACTACTTAATGCCAGGTATTTCCCCTGCTTCTATCAGTCTCAATGTTCTCTCTCCTGTGTGTACAGGAATGTTCTTTGTTAACTCTGTTTTGCCAGTAGAGTTACAAAATCTTCTAAATACTTAGGAGATCTTCTGGCTCTCTGTGACCTCCTTACTTCTGGGTACCTGCCAAGTGCCCCTTGACTGAGGGGTGATGCATACCTGTCCCCCCTGTTATACCCTGGTGATTCCCAAGGACTGTGCTCCAATGCCTGGCCTGTTTGCTTGCCCACCGGGCTCGTCAGGCCAGGGCTTCTTTCTCTGTTTGACCTGGTTGTCCTGCCTAGCTGCAGGCTCTCTGGCCCCTTTAAGTGACTGTCAATGTTGGGCGATTCTGTAGAACCCCCCAGGTCCGTCCAAGACCTGTCAGGAGGTTGTCTGTCCCCTTGTTCCCGTTCTGTCCCCGGGCTTGTGGGGGTTTCAGTGCTGTCCCAAAACTCAGTTGTCCCCTGAGTGAAGTCAGAGGTGTTGTAGTTGGGATTTGGTTCCTCGACCACCTCCCTGTGTGCTTGCCCCCTTCTAGGGACAGGGTTAGTGTCGGGCCAACTAGAGGGAATGTGTGCCAGCTCTCTTGCAGGGTGTGGTTTGTTTGGACGCTCCCGGATATCCTCCTTGACTGGAGTACTGAGTGATGCGGGTGAGTAGTGATTATGCCCCCGGGGTGACTCCCTGGCTGGAGTAGGCACTGATGCCTGAGTTCTAGTTGGGCTCCGTGAATTCCTGTTTGGAGCACTCGCGGAATTTTGGGATGAGCTGTTTGTAGCTTCCTCAGTAATGATGGGCAGCAGCCCGTACTCTTCCCTTTGCCCAGAAGGGTCCCCCTCCCCCCCTGGAAAAGACCCAGGAGTCTCAGTGGGAAGGTCTAGGGCGGAGCTGGTCTATGTGTCGACGCAGGACACGACCATTGTCCAGGAACACCTCGTAGGACAGAGGACGATATTTCGTAATTTTTTCCAGTTCTTTTTCTTCAACTCTGGCATATCCTGGTACAGCGATATCAATCAGCTGTATGCTTCGGTTCTCTACAACTGTGATATCCGGCGTATTGTGTTCCAAATGGTGATCTGTCTGTATTCGAAAGTCCCACAAGATCTTCACCCTCTCATTCTCAACAACTTTTTCCACCCTATGTTCCCACGACTTTTCGGACACAGGCAAGTCGTATGTTTTACACAATGCCCAGTGGATTAATTTAGCAACTTGGTCATGTCTAGATTTGTAATCAGTTTGCACGATTTTGCTGCACTCACAAATTAGGTGTGAAACAGTTTCAACTTTGTCACTGCAAAGTCGGCAATTTGGATTGTCAGTGGATTTTTGTATCTTCGCTTTCATGGCATTAGTTTATAGTGCTTGTTCTTGAGCAGCCAGTGTTAGGCCTTCTGTTTCTTTCTTGATGGTTCCCATCTTAAGCCATGCCCATGTCAAGTTGTTATCACATTTTATTTCAATGCTTTTCAAATGCTGTCCATGCAAAGCTTTGGTTTTCCATCTATTTAATCTGTCATCCAGCCGTTTTTCCTTATATTCTGCCTTTGTTTCTGTTATTTTTATAGTGCTCTCTGTTTTCACAGCCTGCAGCAGTTTTTCTGTACTTTGATTCACATAGTCATTCAAACTTCGTTTTTCTTCTTCTACAGTTTGGTGGATTTGCAATAGTCCTCTGCCCCCTATTTTTCTTGGTAGGTACAACCTGTCAATGTCACTTCGTGGATGTAGAGCATGGTGCATATTTAGAAGTTTACGCGTTTTCTGGTCTAGGTTTTCCAGTTCAGTCAAAGTCCAATTGATAATTCCAGCTGGGTAGCGTATTACCAGGACTGCCCATGTATTAGTTGCTTTAATTATGTTTCCAGCATTCAGCTTTGATTTTAAAATTTTGCGGACTCTCCTGATGTATTCCTTTTGTGTTGACTCTTTGATTTTTCCATTCAAGATGTTATCTGCTTCCAATATGCCTAGGTATTTGTAACTGTCATCTTTTGCTAGTACTTTCACAATACTTCCATTTCCCAGTTCTATTCCTTCTATTTTTGCCATTTTTCCTTGTTGCATGGATAGTACAGCACATTTTCCAAGTCCAAAGTTCATTCTGATGTCGCTGCTAAATAGTTGGACTGCATTAAGTATTGATTCAAGTTCAGTGTAGCTTTTCGCATAAGTTTTAAATCATCCATGTATAGCAGATGGTTTATCTTGTCATGCTGGCCTGAGATGTAGTATCCCAGTTTTGTGTTTCATAAGATTATTGTCAATGGAATTAATGTGATGTTGAACAGTAGTGGTGAAAGTGAGTTCCCTTGGAAAATTCCTTGTCTGATGTTAATTTCACCAATGTTCTCCCCATTCACTGTTAGGGCTGTTTTCCATTTTTGCATATTTGCTTTCAAAAATGTACAGATATTTTTGCTGATTCCAAAGTTTTCCAAACACGCATTAATCCAGCTATGGGATAATGAGTCGAATGCCTTCTTGTAATTAATACACTCCATATTTAAGTTCGTTTTCTGTCGTTTTGCATTTTTAAGTATCATTTTGTCAATGAGCAGCTGATCTTTTGTTCCTCTTAATTTTTTATAATTTCCTTTTTGTTCTACCGGGTACAGACTGTTTTCCATCAGATGACTGAATACTGAATTTGCCAGTATTCTTGTAAAAAGTTTGAGCGTTGTTGGCAAACAAATAATTGGGCAGTAGTTACTTGGTTCTGTGCTCTTTTCTGGGTCCTTCATTATCAAGTATGTTCGACCAACTGTTAACCATTCTTCACTTGTGGCATTTTGAAGCATTTCATCAAACTGAGTGGCCATGCGGTGATGGAGGCTGGTGAGAGGTTTCAACCAGTATCCATTCAGCTCGTCCAGGCCAGATGCACTCCAGTTCTTGACCTTCTTTACTTGTTTTGCAACCATATCAGTGGTTATTATAATATTCTCCATTTTGTTTTGTGTTGCTTGTTTTTGGATATCTTTGATCCAGGAGGCAGTTTTATTATGTTCCACTGGGTTTTCCCACAGTTCTTTCCAAAAGATTAAAGTTTTTTTTAACATGGGAGAACACTAGTTTGGACTTGATTTTCATCAAGTGACCGGTAGAAGAGGTGCTGGTTTCTTCTGAACTGGACATTTTCACGATATTGTTTTATTCGTCCTTCGTATCTTCCAATTTTCTTTGCTGTTGCTATTACACGCTGTTTTAATTCTTCCATGATTTCTGTTATTGTTTTTTCCTCCAGGTTATATTTTTTGTATAAACTATTTTTCAGCTTTTCATTCTTTAGTTTTCCTTCTTTGAAATATTTCAATTTGCTGACATCTCCTCGTAATTTTTTTATTTTATTTTCATGTCAAATTTTCCACTTTGGTGTTCCAGTGGACTTCTTTTTTGGCATTTTATAATCCAATTCTGCAGTTATAATGGCGGCTGTACTGTACACTAGCTGGTTTGTTTCATACAGTGTGGTGGATGGGATGGAAGTTAATATGTTGTTCACAGCATTTAGTATATCTTTCACTCGTTTGCTATGCACTTCACGAATGGCAGGCAGTCCTTTTCTTTCTGTGTTTTCTTTGATGTGGTTTTCAATCTTTTCTTTCAGCATTATTATTATTATTATTATCATTCATCGCACAGTCAGCCAGATGTTCAGACTGGATTTGGCATTTTGTCTACCTATCGAGTCCTTACCCAGGACCTGGGATAGGCAGATGTGGATGTTTGATGGTATTACAGGTATCGTCGCAGGATGGAAGCAGTTCCTAATAAGGCCGCCTTTTGCAATTGACTAATAGCGAATTTGTCAATGCCAATGGTTTTCAAGTGGTGCTCCAGTTGTTTTGGGATTGCACCCAAGGAGCCTATGACTATTGGTACTACCCTTGCTTGCTTTTGCCACAGTCTTTCTATTTCTATTTGTAGGTCTTTGTATTTTGTTATCTTCTCCAGTTCTTTCTCTTCTATTCTGCTGTCTCCAGGCACTGCCACGTCCACTATCCAGACTTTTTTGTCTTTCTTATCGACAATTGTTAAGTCTGGGGTGTTATGTTGCAGGTGCTTGTCTGTTTGAATTCTGAAGTCCCAGAGCAGTTTAATTTTATCATTTTCTATGACTTTCTCTATTTTATGATCCCACCAGTTTTTGCTTACAGGCAAATGATATTTTTTGCAGATCTTCCAATGCACCATTGTTGCTACTTTGTCATGCCGCTGCTTGTAATCAGTCTGTGCAATCTTCTTGCAACAGCTTACCAAGTGGTCCACTGTTTCTTCAGCTTCTTTGCATAGGCGGCACTTACTGTCTGTTGCTGTCTTCTCAATTTTGACTTTGTATGCATTTGTCCTTAAGGCTTGGTCTTGTGCAGCCAGAATTAGTCCCTCGGTCTCTTTCTTCAATTTTCCTGCTCTTAGCCATTGCCAGGTTTTATTATTATCTGCTTTCCCAGCTATTTTTTTCATGTATTGGCCATGTAGTGCTTTGTCTTCCCATGCCTCTCTTCTGTTCTTCATTTGTTCTTTCTTGTAGGCCAGTTTGGTCTCTCCAGTAGTCAGTAAGCCTTCCTGATATACTAATTCCAGTGCATCTTCATCATTGTTCTTCAGATATTCTTCCAAAGTCATTTTTTCTTCTTCAACCATCTGATGTACTTGTAGCATTCCACGCCCACCTATTTGCCTTGGTAGATAAAGTCTATCAATGTCACTGCGTGGATGAAGGGCGTGATTCATTGTCATTATTTTTCTGGTCTGCCTATCCATTGCTTTTAGTTCTGCATGAGTCCAGTCCACTATTCCAGCTGTGTACCTAATGACTGGGATTGCCCAGGTGTTGATTGCCTTCATGGTATTTCCTCCATTGAGTTTGGATTATTATTATTATTATTATTATTATTATTATTATTATTATTATTATTATTACTATTATTATTATTATCTCAAAGCACATATTTTGGTGAGAGAAAAGTTCCCTGGGGATGGGCTCCAGCATAAGTCTGAAAGCTCAGAAGACTAAACCTCTGGTCCTGGTGACCGACCCAGATTGAATCCTGTCACATCAAAAAGTTTCAGGCATTCTCAGAAGTCTCCACAAACATAATGGGTTCTTAATTTTACTGCAAATGTTGTGCTTGTCTTTGTTTTGATAAGTGGCTCTAGAATATTCCATTCTGGTATTATTAACAGATTAGATATATGGGGTATCCCATTCTCTCTCCATTACTCCTATTATACTGAATATACTTCAGCCTACAATGCTCTGCCCTGCTTTTGAAAAACAGTTTACAGTTTTACTAAAATGGTTCTGTGCTGCTGTTGCGAGGTTGTGAGTGTGCTAGTTTATTGTAATTTTTATATAGGCTGGGCTTAGTATTACTGTTTTACAGTAGAGTAAAGTAAACAGAGTAGCAACCAGTTTGTCCTGGTAGCAAATTAGAAGGCAGCAGATTAGAGTTTAGCCCCAATTTACCACCTATCCTGTTGCTTGAAGCAGCTGCTTCATTTCATCTAATAACAAAGCTGGCTTTCTTCCAGAATACTAGTTCATTTTTTTATTAGACCCAAATTATAGGTTCACTGTTTATGGGGAAAAATGGAATAAATCTCAGATGGAAGATATTTAAAGGCTTAATTCCCAAAACTCTTTGTAAACAAACAAACAAAAAAAGAGTATATTCTCTTGGGTGTAGAGGCAACATTCACGTAAATCCATAACTTCTACCAACATTTGATGAATGCTAATTTATTTTATAGTTGTATTCCTGAATTTAGTTTTGAGGCTGAATAAATCTACAAATTTGCACTGAATCCAGCAGAGTAGTAGTAAACAAATATAGTAATAAACAGTGAAAATATATACATGCATTTTTGTTACAATCAGCACTAAAATTAATATTGCAAATATAATCTAATGTGTATCATTTCTTCTTTTCCAATTTCTAAAATGATAACTGAGATCCCTGAAGTCTACCAGCTGAGAATGCTCTTTTTAAAATACTATAAACCAAGGAAGAATGCTATGTTGAGGTCCCTTCCACTAGTGGAACAATGACAAATCCCTTAAAGTGATTAAAATCCCTAATCACAAATGCAATATTTAGGGAGGAGTCACTAATTTAAAAAAAAAAAACTTCAAGATTTTACTTAAATCAATAGTATATATTTCACCATGCCAAGAAAGATTCTTTAATTCTATTGTCCCAACAACAATACCTTCAGCAACAGAACTTTTGTGAGATTTTAAAATTTTTCTAGGTTATATGGGTTATATAGTGAATTATCTCAGGCTTTGCCAGGAAATATTAAAGGTGTTTTAGCCTCTCTGGTGCTTTCTTTTAGGGACCGATTGCTTTTTTCTATATGCTGTCTGTACGGATCATAAGAATAAGAAACCTCAGAGAAGCAGATTTGTGTGAGTATCTCTGAATTACCATTCCACAGCCTGGTATTCTTCAAATACTGGATATTAGGCTGGAAATCCCTGGGTGCTAGCCAAGCTAATTTGGTAATCTGGGAATTGTAGTACAATACATTTGGAAGCCTCGTCTAAATCTTATGGATTGCTTTCAAAGTGCTTGTTTTATTAACTGCTCTGAAAAATTGTAACAGTATCTGTATGAAATATTGCAGGTAGTCCTCAACTAGTTTGTTTAGTGACTGTTCAAAGTTACGACTTTGAAAAAAGTGACTTGACCATTTTTCACATGACTGCTGCAGCATCCCTGTGGCCACATGATCAAAATTCAGATGGTTGGCAACTGGTTGATATTTATGAGGGTTGCAGTGTCCCTATGTGATCACCTTTTGTGTGTTTCTGATAAGCAAAGTCAATGGGGAATCCTGATTCACTTAACAACAATGTTACTAACTTAACAAGTGCAATGATTCACTTAACAGCTGTGGCAAGAAAAGTCATAAAGTAGGGGAAACTCACTTAACAAATGTTTCACTTAGCAACATAAATTTTGGGCTCTGTTGTGGTTGTAACTTGAGGACAGGATGTCATTGGCAGTAATTTATTGCTGCAAGCGCTGTAGAGATATGATACTTCTACCATTGCCTTTGCTGAAAACTTTGAATTTGTTGTTGTTGTTGTTGTCAATGAGAAATGAAAACGGAGATGCCATTTCCAACTCATGTGTTTGGGACAAGGCTGGGAACAAAATCACAGGTTTTGTCAGTTGCTGAACAGTGCCCCTACATTAAAAGCCATGCAACTTTTTTTTTAAATATTAACAGCATGAATTCCTCCCTCCTTCTCAGTGCTTATAATTTATACTTCAGTCTACTCTTCCCCATCTAGTAAGGTATTTGATAAAGTAGACCACAATCTACTCCTTGGTAAGCTAGAAAAAGGTGGAATAGACAACATCACCACCAGATGGATCTGTAACTGGCTGGCATACCAAACTCAATGAGTAGTCCTCAATGGCACTATATCCACATGGAGAGAAGTAAGCAGTGAGGTACCACAAGGTTCCGTCTTAGGCCCAGTACTCTTCAATATCTTCATAAATGACTTAGATGAAGGAATTGAAGGGGAACTCATCAAATGTGCAGATAACACCAAACTGGCAGGAGTAGCCAACAGCCCAGAAGACCAACTTAGGATCCAAAAAGATCTTGACAAACTTGAACAATGGGCTCTATCCAACATAATGAGTTTCAATGTGGAGTTTACATTTAGGCAGGAAAAATCAAAGGTACAAGTACAGATTAGGCAAGACCTGGCTTAAAAACAGTAACTGTGAGAGGGACCTTGGAGTACTAATGGACGATCACTTGAGTCAGCAGTGTGCAGCAGCACCCAAAAGTGCTAATACAATCCTGGGTTGTATAAACAGAGGCATAGAATCAAGATCACACAAAGTATTAATATCGCTTTATAAAACCCTAGTAAGATCACACCTGGAATACTGCAGCCAATTTTGGTGACCATATCACAAAAAAGATGTTGAGAGGTTGGAAAAAATTCAGAGAAGAGCAACTAAGATGATCAAAGGCCTGGAGACTAAAACATAGGAAGAACGGCTGCAGGACTTGGGTTTGGCTAGTCTAAAGAAAAGATCTATCTATCTATCTATCTATCTATCTATCTATCTATCTATCTATCTATCTATCTATCTATCTATCTATCTATATCTCCCCCTCTCTCTTCCTCTCGCAGATCTGAGCTGACACATATTCTTATTGGGCTAGCTCACGGGTAGGCAACCTCAGCTCTTTTATGACTCATGGACTTCAACTGGGCTAGCTAGCTCTCTTCTGCCCTTCCTGCTTCCTGCTTCCTGCAGAGACGCAGCAAAGGGAGGAGCCCCGCCCAATAAGCTTATCAGCTCGTCGGAACTGGATGAGGTTACTCTCTTTTTTACACACACACACACACACACACACACACACACACACACACACAGAGAGAGAGAGAGAGAGAGAGAGAGAGAGAGAGAGAGAGAGAGAGAGAGAGAAGCTCTGTCTCTCTCTCTCTGCAAATGGCAGAGGAGGCTGGGAGCCACAGGGGAAGGCTCAAAGAGCCACATGTGGCTCCGCAGCCGCAGGTTGCCGACCTGTGGGCTAGACAGTCACTTGTCTGAGATGGTATAGGTTCTCCTGCTTGAGCAGGGGGCTGGACTAAAAGACCTCCAAGGTCCCTTTCTATTCTATTCTATTCTATTCTATTCTATTCTATTCTATTCTATTCTATTCTATTCTATTCTATCCTATCCTATCCTATCCTATCCTATCCTAATCAATGCTTGTTTTTTGTTATGTCACTAATTTCTACAAATAGCATTGGGGATTAAATCCGGTCCAGCACAGATAGTTAGACTAAAAAGTATGCAGTTGTATATCAGGTTATCTCTCCCTCTAGATTAGCTGCCAACTAATTAATAAAACATTGATTGGCAGTAGGGTGGAGGGAAAACCAATGTTATAAGAAGGATGAAGCATTCCAAAAAGTAATTTTTTAGCAGTAACTTCCAGGCCTTCCTTCATTCTAGCAGTGAACAACAATGCAGATATTCTTTCTTTTTTCTTGCACATTGTACTTGTGATATTACTCCAGAAAACATGATTCTATGATGAGCTATATCAGTTTGTCTGAAGAACAGACTCTAGGATTCACATAGAATATAGAAATATAATTGTTTCTTTTGAAAACACGGTTTTCATATTATGGTCAAAGCAAATATCATTACAGGTAGTCCTCAATTTACAATCATTCATTTAGTGACCAAAGTTATAATAGCACTGAAAAAAGTGTCTTATGATCGTTTTTCACACTGATGACTGTTTCAGCATCCCCATGGTCATATGATCAAAATTCAGATGCTTGGCAACTGACTCATATTTATGAGAATTGCAGTGTCCTGGGATCATGTGATCATCCTTTGCAACCTTCTGACAAGCAAAATCAATGGGCAAGCCAGATTCACTTAGCAACCGTGTTACAAATTTAACATCTGCAGTGATTCACTTAAAATGTGACAAACTCACTAAACAAATGTCTCACTTAGCAAAATAAATTTTGGGCTCAATTTATATAAATTGTATAAATAATGGCATGCTTGCAAAGCTATGTCAGAAGAATAGCCTTCCCTAATTTGGTCCTATCCAGATGTGTCAAGACACAATTCCTAGAAATCTTTAGTTATCTTCAACTTTCAGATAAGCTTGGACTGCAACTCCCAGAAATCCCAGACAGCAACCATAATGGTTGGGAATTCTGGGAAACTGCCACATTAAGGAAGGTTGTAAAAAGCATCATGTTTCCAGTAGCTGTTCCAGTGCATTTTACCTAATACCTGGTTTGGAACAGTAAGTGACATTCTCTTAAAGTAAGAAGGCTATATCTGCTTTTTAAAGATATTGTTGCTATTATTGATTTGTTTCACAATCTGCCAGATGTTCAAACTGGATTTGGCATTTTTGTCTGTGTCTGTCATGTTAATATAAGACATTCCCCTCCCCGCCCCCAAACTGAGAGAATCAATTTACAACTAATACAAAGATTAGATAAACATAAAGGGAAACTCAATTTGGCATAGTGTAAAAACATTACACATTCCCTGGGAGGCAAAAGAATAGCCTGGCTACTACTAAAGCTCTGCCCTTTATTGCAAAAAATGATCATGATTCACAGCAGTTCCCATCCTTGAATTTATTGCCTCTGCTTAAGGCATGAACTCTAAATCAATTAGAATCCAACAGCTACATGCTGATCTAGCAAGAAATTCCATTATTGAGAAGCTACGTGGGAGATATACAAGACATATATGAATATTATATCAGTATTTGAAATTATATCAGTATATCTTTACATAATTCCTACATACAGAGTTCAAATTTCAACTCTCCATATTTACATTTTTGTTGTTTTGAAACCTGCAGTAAGCCAAAGTGATTGTTGTGTAAGTTTGAGATTGCCATCATGTTCCTTCGACACTGCACGGACAAAAACTATTTCAAATTGCAGAAATCCAGTCTGGAATGAAACATTCTTCTTCAGGATTCAGAATATGGCTAAGGTGAGGAGCCAACAACTATTTTTTCCAGTAAGATGCTCTTTTGTGTTTACATTGGGGATAGGTGGGAATTTCATTCACACAATATATAAGATATTCTTAGAATAATTTTAGTGAAGCCTAGCATGGTGTGTGAGCCTAGACCAGGGGTAGGCAACCTTGGCTCTTTTATGACTCGCGGACTTCAACTCCCAGAATTCCTGAGCCAGCCATGCCGACTCAGGAATTCTGGGAGTTGAAGTCCATGAGTCATAAAAGAGCCAAGGTTGCCTATCCCTGGCCTAGACAGTTATGATTATCTTGTGCTTTAATATATTATACTGGCAGGGTTAATTTAGTAATCCTTTTGAATGTAGCCTCTGAAACTATTCCTACAAATAGAAATGGAACCAATGTAATGGCAGGCCCCAACCTTAATTCTTGGAGATAGCCCAAGAAAATGTCATAATATTTTAACAATGATTAACAATATATTATCAATATATCTTAACAATAATTATGGTTAACAATATCATAAGGCACTAAGAAATCAAGCAAGATTTAAAAAATCATGTTCCTTCTATCTCTCTCCCTCAAGAGATTATTAAGGCGAGCATGGCTGATTCTGATCCCAAACTAGGCCTAAACTCTGACTAAAAAGAGGCAAGGTAATTTATGCCTTTCACTGTCATTTAGAATTTTACACCCTCCAAGTCTTGAGACCTTGTTTCAAAATGGGCATCTATGAATCATAATAGATTAACTTCTAGTCCCAAGGAGAGCTTTTTCAGGGTTGGGCTTATCACTGCCAGAAACTTAACTTTATCCATGTGTTTGCCACACTTGAGATCTATCCAGAAATCTTTACCCCTATCTCTAATAAGCCAGGATGTTCAAAGGAAGAAAGTCATTGCTAGGACTGAAATTTATAACCATGTGGTCTATGTCCTCAGTTCTTTATTACCTCACAGTAGATATGATTGTGTTCCCAAACACGTTTTTGGTCGATCTCATGGCAAATCTTGTATTGTCTGTCTCTTGACTTATTTAATAAAATGGAACTTCCCAGGAATAATGGCAATCCTTTACAGAGGGAACACTTAAAACCAATTGTATAAATAATGTTGTATTCTTCCATTCCCTTATGTCAACAAGGATCTAGACAGGATCTTCAGTTTTATTTCTGGAAATTCTCACAGAATATTTAAGAATGAATCAGAACCTTTGAACAAATTAATCCCATGACATTAAACTTCACTAGATAGTAAAGTTCACCATGATAACAGGATAGCTGTATTCATCCATCCTCCAATCCTTTTCCCTATTCATCTCCTTACAACACAAGGTGAGAACTAACTGAGGCTATATCTTACCTTATGTACTGATCTTATCACAGTTTGAGACAAATCCATGGTGGTTGTGAAGGCTATGAAATACCAAACTTGTGGAAAAATCTCAGCATTAACAATTAAGACAAATCATTGTCTTTTTTTTTTGATATCATATTTGAGACCATTTCAGAGAAACCATAAGCAACAAGATCAGCGGTGGAATTCAGTCAGTTTGCACCACTTCGGCAGAACTGGTAGCTAATTTTTTGTTGCCCAGGCCCAGAATGGACTTCTGGAAGCGGCATCCACACAGAAAACTGGTTGTTCACATATTTGAATCCCACCACTGAACAAGATGAACAATATGCAATCAGTTTTTGCAGTGCATCTCATTGATTCATTGCTGGGAGTTTACAGCCCTCCCCTATTCAGAAATGGCATATTTATGGTCCAAACCTTGATTGAGAAATAAGATAGAGTTGATTGGATCTAATTCATCCAGTTTACTCATTTGGACCCATTGATGTCACAGTGACCTACTCATCCATACTGAATTCTTTAACTGGTGTTTAGCAGGATATAGGATATGGAGGGAGCATAAAATATGCCTCAGGTATCTGATAGATGAAGGAGGGGCCAAAGAAAAGAAAATCTGTGATGTTTTGTTTTCAGGCCCTCTAATTTCTTTTCTTCCAAATTACCAACCTTTTATTTCATCCCTCACCTCATAACTTAGAAAATTATTATTAATTTTTCAGAATGGGGCCATTCTCCTGTCTTCCCACAAACATTTAATGCATACATACAATAGAAGAATTCATAAATAATTCCATAGGGAGATATGAACAACCGTTCATCATAGGTGAAGCAGAGGTCCAATTGAAACATCTTTGAGCAGAGATAGAACTTTGTACCTCACTTTGGGAAACAATCTTTTCTCGCCTGAAAGTGCCCACAAACATCTTCCTCCAAAATTGAAGTAGTCTATTCCTCACACCCACATAATGCCTCAAAGGGAAAACTCCTTTTCCAGGCTTCCTTGTTGTTGCTCACTCAGGACTGCTTTAAATGCAATTCTGTTGGGAAAGCTAATAGCTGAGTAGCAAGAACCTTCAGGCTGAACCTCCAACTGCTTTAGGATGCTGGTAAACATGATCCTCTTCCTCCAAATAAGCTTGATTATCATCAAAGCATTTAAGTAAAGCATTGCTAAGTGAAGATCATGATCATGACTATGCTTATGGTTTTATTTTCTTTCTTTCTTTTAGTGTTAGAAAGATATTACCTCAAAAAGCTGGGTGAGCCCAAATGGGGGGGAAGATTTCCAAGGAAGGAGGATAAAGGGCAAATCTTTCAGCTTTTTTATCCCACTTTCCAACTTTTGGAATGGTCATCTGGGCATTGGGATAATTAGCAAGAGAATGAATATTTGCATTTACATTCATTGGAAACAAGTAAGCAGACACTCATGAATACCTATGGAAAAGAATATGCTAGTGCTGGCTGTTTGCCTAACATGCTACCAGCCCTGAGTTGCCAGCTACTTGGGAGACAAAACCCCCCAAAGGTATGAAAATGATTAAAGTCTTGTCAAGTCAGGCTGCAGCTGACAGTCACAGAGCTGAACTTAATAACTTGCGGTTGATGTCTTTTGTGGAAGCACTGTTCTGCGGTGGAAAGCAGCTCAGGAAGATATTGTTTGTTTATGCAATCTCACCACTCTGAAAGAAGTGCTGTCCAAGGTTGTTGCTAAATTAAGATTACCTGTGGTTAAGTGATGTTTGATGGTCTGAGCGAGTCACTTTGCAACTGAACATTATTTCAATGCTAAAACAGAACCCATTATTTCACTTCATCTCTTCCTTCTAATACCACTGATTGCCACTCAGTGTCATAGTCCATTATTGCAATCAAGATGATGATGATGTTATCCATTCAGCTGAGTCTGACTTTTGGCAATTCTATGGGCCAGGTCTCTCCACAGCTCCTGATCTTGCACTATTTCTTTGAGTTTTTCTATGCTCTCTCTGGTATCAGCTTTGATAGTGTCCAACCATTGTGTTCTTTGACAGCCTGGTTTCCTTTTACTGCTAACTCTTCCAAACATAATTGCTTTCTTCAGTGATTATAATCAAAAAAGAAGAGCAATTTTTTGATGTAGCAGAAATCTGCTTTGCTCAGAAATGTGTAATGATTGAAGTAGAAATTCTAAGCAATTTGGCCTCATTTAGTGTTGGTAGACCTGGAGCATACATTGTCATCAGTCCCTATAGATACAGTACTTTCTTTGGTGCCTGCCAGACTCTGTCTCTGTAAAGTACTAACTTGTAAAGTGCTAACTTTTAGTATCACAATTTCCAATAATGCCTTTGAGATACAAAAACAGCTCCACCAGCTTTCTTAGGAAATAAAAAATAAAAAACAAAAAAATAAAAACAAAAACAGTGAGGTGCTGCTTTCCAGTGTTGTGTTTGGAAGTGTACCAAAAAACAGACCCCCCCCCCAAAACAGAGAGTTTATGTGTTGTGTGTGTTTGTGTGTGTGAGTGTGGGGGGGGGGGCTGCATAAAAGCATCATGGTAAATCTGTGCTTTTTAGCTGCTTATATCTATCATGACAACCCTTTGTGGAAAGTTTTTCTCTCAAGCAATATGTTCTCTGCATTCTCTCCAGCCCCAAATATGTGGATCTCTGCCAAGACCTGGACAAGACAGTCCTTGCTTGCTTCCACATATTACAATGACATCCTAAAGTTGCTCTGCTCCCGATTTATATGTTAAGATAATATAGAGAAAAAAATGGATATTTAACCAAATATATTTAATATTTATGAATAAAAGTATGTGAAACGGACAGCATGAGAATTAGAGTTTTGACTTTTCTGTCTAAAAGCAATTAATTCTGAAAATTCAAACCTTCAACCTTTAATGCTTGTCTGAATTGCCCTATGCTGCTGCTGCTGCTGCTGCTGCTGCTGGTGGTGGTTAAAACACTTTACATACCTCCTCCATTATTTATTTATTTATTTATTTTTTAAAAAAACAATCCTGCCCTTCTATTCCCTAGAATATACTTGAAATAAAAATCTGTGATGAAGACAGCCCATTCAGTGATGAGGAACTCTGCACAGTTACATTTGATATAGCAAATCTTCAGATTGAAGAAAGAGTTTGCAAGCATTTTGAATTGAACAAAGAGGTGAGAAATGCAATTAGATATTCAGAATGGGTGGTTACCGTACCAATAAATGTAAGTTTTCTGAAATGGGGTTTATATTTAATTGTTCATTGCACTGTATTTATTTATGAGACTTATATACCGCTTTAAGTGCAAGCACTCTCTAAGCGGTGTACACCAGTAAGCAATGTGTATATATATATATATATATATATATATATATATATATATATATATATATATATATTTACATTGCCCCCAACAATCTGGGTCCTCATTTTACCTACCCCGGAAGGATGGAAGGCTGAGTCAACCTTGAGCCGGTGAGATTTGAACCGCTGACCTGCTGAACACAGTCAGCTAAAGTGGCCTGCAGTACTGCACTCTAACTGCTGCGCCTATTTCACTTTTATTCACTATTGCCTTTGACTGACTGTTACACAGAGCAATTTTTCAAAAGTTGTTTCATTTAGAAACATACGCCTGAAATAATTGCTATTGGGAAATTATACCCTCATTTCACAGTAATCATTTCAAGCAGATGTGGAATCTCCAGCACAAGTCTTTTAATATAGAAATAAATGTGGCAAATATGGTCCCTTGATTTCTTATAAAAATGTGCAGGTTGGTTCAAGTTGGAAAGATCTGGTTTTAAGAATGTTCTATTTCTCTCAGAACAGACCAAACTGAGCATTTTCACAGAGATAGATTTCCCACAACAGGAAACAATGTTCTAATGGGTATTCGGAATGTTTCACCATAAAAATATTGATTAGCTAAATGTTGTCCTCAAATATACAAAGATTTGATTTTGAACAACATAAATAGCATGGATGAGATACTATAAAGGTGAAGTTGCTGCCAGAAATTGAAGTTCCGGTAAGCATATGAAGAAGCTAATATTTCAAACATTTGATTTCAATTTTAGAAAAATGAACTGCTAGATGTGGAATTCTATTTGGAACATATGTGAGTAAAAGTTGAATAAATGTAATAGTTGAGTTACAAGGTATAATTATTAGCTTTAATACCATGTAGTATGAATTGTAGTTAATTTTACTGCATTTGCAAATGTCTTAGTATAATTCTTTTTTCAAAATGGCAAAACCTTTCCCACATGTAATTTTTATATATCAGAGTATAGATAAATATTTTAAATGCTTGAATAGAATAGAGCTGGAAGGGACCTTGGAGGTCTTCTAGTCCAGCCTCCTGCTCAAGCAGGAGAACCTATGCCATCTAATATGTTTGGAATCTGGAAATGATTCTAAATATTCAGAAAAAAACATTTTAGTAAGTGAGCGAGAATTGAGTGAAACCAATTATAATTTGCTCACTTTTTCTCTCTCCTCTAGATCAGATATGTCAGAAAACCTTATAAGTAATGGAGTACTCTTGGTAGGTTCATTGCTTTTGTACTTATACTTACAATTTCTGTAGCCTGAGAAGATTCATGTGTAAAATGGTTGAAACCGGAAAATTCTCAAACTCTGAACATTCCAGTTACATTTGAAAAAGTTGTTTCAAGCTTGCAATGAGTAGCTTTGATCATTCTGAAACAAAACTACTTTGTTTGAAATTGAAAGCAAGTGTTCCAAATAAGACTTTTTAAAGTTTGGAATACTTCCAAGAATGACTGGAATAATGCATTTTGAAATGGAAACAACTATTTTGCACTTGAAACATTTTCCATAATTCCAGATGCTACTCTGGAGGATAGGATATTTTGAATAAATAAATACATGAATTGCTTAATAAAATATGACTCTGAAATAATGACTCTTAAAGTCAATCTATTGGCGTGTCTGCTTTTAAATTTCATATTTCTCAAGCACCAAGAACTTTGACCATGTTGGCTGATGATTATGGAACTTTTATAAGGATGAAATATGCTGATAAATGGTTCAACTTATTCTGTCATTTGATTTTTTTAAATTTTCTTTTAATTTCTAGTTTCCATTCTTCAAAACTTCTTCCAGTGTTGATTGACTGGACCATTTAGTGCACAGCATAGTTTTGATGCAACAGATAACTTTGCTAGGAGGAGAAGAGGACAATTTTAATACTTTATAACAATTGGATCCTACACAGCAGTTCAGAAATTATTGTAAGAAGCTACAGAAAAAAGTAGCAATCAGTTGAAAACAGCTTTTTCATTTCCTGTTAGTGGAAATATCCATGGCTCAAAAATCTTTGTGTGATAGGAATAACATATTTCCTTTCAACCAGATGTCAGTGAAGAGGGAGAGCATATATTTACACAATTTTTTTCTCCATCCACCTAGGTGTATGTAACTACATTTGAAATTCCTTTAAACAACGTGCAAACTTATTTTTGTAGCTTTTGAAAAGGGGGATAGGACAAAGCAGCTTAATTATCATTATGTCATATTAATGCCAAAAAAAGTCTGACAATCATTTGTACTGATCATGAAGCATAAATTAATACATAGTGATAATCATACCCTGTTTTCACTTCTTGAATAGTTGGAGGTGTGTATAATTGTCTTTTCCCTTGTAGTCTCGGGAACTTTGCTGCCTAAAAGTAGAAGTGAATCACAGAGGAAGGAAGAAAAAAAGAAAAAGTAAGATTTCTATTAGGATATATTGTATTTTTCTTCATTGGCTATAATATGGGTGTGAAACTATTTTAGAATAATAAAAGATGATATATCCAAAGACATGCTAGTTTCATGAGAATAGGAAATACATATATGTTTCATGAATGGACCTCTAATTTCCTACTTCTCTCAAATGGGTGAGACCATGTATCAAAATTCCTATATCACTCAGAGCACTCTACTTTAGGGCAACTAATCCTAATAACCAACTCATTTGCGTGCTGATGTACAGGTGTGGATATGAAATGAGTATTCCTGTCTTGCATAACATCTCATTAACTTGTAAAAAGAGATGAGCAGTTTAAAACGTGGAATAGTCTTGAATTATAGACAAGTGAGCTCCAGATCCCACTTAGCTATGAAGTTCAAGGAGGAGCTCTGAGAAAATCACTCTGTCCTGACCTACATTTGGAGGATAAAATGAAATAATGTACTGCAACCTACCCTAGGCATCCTGAAGAAAAGGAAGGATAAAAAGATTATCAATAAATACAGGCTTCTAGACTTATCATTCTGAAGTTTTCTTTGTGTTTTCTACTTTGCATTCAGAGCAAAACTTTGCATGTACACTGAGAGGATCTTATGAAGATGCACGGAATATTTTATTGGATTCAAGTTCCAGAAATGCCCCACCAAATCACACAACTTTCCACTATGCCAAGTATTGTAATCCCAAACTAGAGATGCAATTATTGAAGAAACGTTCCATTTGTGTGAGTTTTTACTGATATCTGGGGACAAATGTACTTCATATAACTAACTTCCATATTTCTGCATCTATAAAGTATAAATGTTACTTCGGATCCAAATTAAAAGACTGCAATAAGTCTATTGCTTAATTAATTTATTTTTGCATTTGCCACTGGGCATCATAGGAATTTGATTTTTTTCTGGAAAGGCAGGTCAAGCAGAAAGTTAGAAGTTATAGTTAAGAAAAGTTGATGATAGTGGTCCTGGAAAAGAACAAAGGGAAAGATAGAATAATAATATTCATGTCCAAAAATACTGATGGGCTTCCCTTTCCAGCTACTCCTATTTGCTGGAAGTTTATCTTCCAGATCACTTTTTCATACCTCAAAGAACTCATCCGTCTTTAGATGAAAAAGTAACAGTTCCCTACATTTTAGCTGCAGTTCCAAAAATGTTAGCTTTCATTGCAGTAAATAGCAAAGAAACAGAAATGAGATGTGTGCCCAACTCTGCTAGACTTTTATCCTCTCATTCGAGGTGCTTGTCCATCAATCAGTGCAAAATATAATAAGCCCCAATTTAGCTATGTTTGCGTGTGATTAAGATAAAGATATAATAAATGTTAGTTTCATTGGTCATATAATCTCTCGCTCCCTCCCTCCTCCCAACTACCAATCCTTCCACCCACCCATCTAATATTCCTTTTTTAAGATGCCAATTTTTTATTTTTACTACTGTATCTGGACTGCTAAATTATAAATGGCCATGAGATAACAACAAAGTATAGATGGTCCTCACCTTACAACCATTCATTTAGTGACCATTCAAAGTTACGACGACTCTGCAAAAAGTGACTTATGGCCATTTTTCACACTTATGACTGTTTGCAGCATCCCCATGGTCATGTGATCAAAATTTGGATGCTTGGCAGCTGATTCATATTTATGACGGTTGCAGTGTCCTGGGATCATGTGATCAGCTTTTGTGACCTTTTGACATACGAAGTCAATGCGGAAGCCAATTTCACCTACAACTGTGTTACTAACTTAGCAAGTGCAAGGATTTACTTAACAACTGTGGAAAGAAAGGTAATAAAATGGGGCAGAATTCACTTAACCATTGTCTTGCTTAGCAGCAGAAATTTTGTGCTCAGATATGGTCGTAAGTCGAGGGCTACCTGTATTGGAGTTTCTTATTTCTACTTGCCAGCCCCAGTGCTCTCTCAGAATTCAGCAGCCAAAATATGATAGCCATAATCTTAACGACATCTGTCTAGTTGGGGCCTTTTATGTCTAATTAAAATCAGTTATTTCAACCCCCCCATTTCACTTTATGTCCATTACTAGATATTCATCACAGCCACTGTTATGGTGAATACTACCTGGAATACTGTTATTTCAAAAACATCTCTTTTGATTATTTGCTTTTTTCCCCCTGCTTTAGAGTTCAAATTCTGGGAAAACACTCTCCTTCACCTTGCCTTTGTGTCGGGTTCCTTTGGGAGAGAGAGTACAAGTAGCAAATGTGAGTCCTTTTTGTGAACAATGTCCATTTAGTTTTCTGTACTGCTTCCTTATGTCCAACAGATATATATATATATTTGTTTTTTGAGGTTTTCATGGGTGTTTGTATGTAGGTCTTTGGTTATTCAGATTTTTTCCCGCATCAAATTGGAAGTGTCTTAGCGACGTTTCGACAAAGTCTCATTCGTCATCTTCAGGCTGGTGTTTTCGGCTTCGTGCTTCTAGGAGCAATGTCTAGGAGCACATTGCTCCTAGAAGCACGAAGCCGAAAACACCAGCCTGAAGATGACAAATGAGACTTCGTTGAAACGTCGCCAAGACACTTCCAATTTGACGTGGGAGAAAACCTGAATAACCAAAAACACACACACACACACACACACATATAAAATCATACTCATATATATGAGTATGGCCTAGAGGTTACTACAGCTGCCTAACATGCAGACAGCCCAGGTTCGAATCTCAGAAGGGTATGTCTGGTTGAAAAGAGCTAAAGAGTTCGAAATAGCTATTCCAGTTCTCCCTTAATTCTTTGCTAGCAATCCAAATTTTATATATTGTGTTTGAGACTGAGAATCTAGAACAGTCATGATTCATCAGCACAAGACTGGCTCAATCTGCTACTGCTGAAAGAAGCATTTTCACACCTATGTTCCTTTTGCTATTTAATTTTTTTTCTATATAATTGGGTTACATTTGTAGCTTAAGCACATGGAATTGCTATCATAACATTTAGCGTGCAAATCATATCATGATACTTGGAAGCAATCAGTTTTTCTCTTTGGAAAACTCACTTTTTAAACATTTAACATTAAGTTCCAGTTTCCTAGAATAATTAGCAGCTATCTGGCTGGTTTCTTCCCTCTAAAGAGACAATTTGCTTTAAGAATTTTTTTTTTGTAAAAATTTTTTTATTTTCAATTTTACATTACATTCATTAAAAATACTTCAGATAAAGAGTAAAATAAATTTATACACACAACTTTCGGTATTGCTCACCCATTTCCCCCCAAACCGCATCCACCCTCTAACCTCTTCTCTCACTTCCCTCTTTCCCTCTTCTTCCTCACTCTCCCCCTCTCCTCCTTCTCCTCAACCTTCATACTTACTTCTCCCCTTCCTCCTATCTTCTCACTCTGGATGCAGTCCAGGGGAATTGCCCGAGCAATTCCTCTCTCCAAATTAAAACATCAATATTATATACAATAAAACTATTTCTACTTATCTGAGCTATTTAACATCCAACCCATCCTCCCCCCACCCCCTCCCTCTGCCTCCCTCCCCCTCGACTTCCAAGAGCCAAGTACAGGATTATACAAACATATTAAACATAATCTATTTAAGTTTACTAATTATACAACAACCAAAATCATACTAACCCTTAACTCTCTTCAAACTTTAACTTCATAATTTTATAAACAAATCCATTACTCATAAAATAAATGAAACTTTGTAGTTCCATATTTCTTCTGAACATATTCTATCCATCTTCTCCATACAATAACATATCTCTCTTGTGAATGGTCCTTTAAATAAGCAGAAATTTTAGCCATTTCTGCTAAATTAGAAACCTTAAATACCCATTCTTCTAAAGAAGGCAGAGAGTCTTTCTTCCAATATTGACCCACCAATAATCTTGCTGCTGTTATTAAATTCAACATTAAAATAGTTTCTTTAGCATCAAAATCCACAAAAATACCCAAAAGAAATAACTGGGGAGTAAACTTAATCTTCCTTTTAAAAACCTTTTGAATGTTCCACCAAATCATAATCCAAAAGGCTTTAATATTTTTACAAGTCCACCAAACATGAAAATAGGTTGCATCCAAGCAACCACATCTCCAACATTTAGGTTGCAGGTTCGGGTACATACAAGACAACTTTTTAGGATCCAGATGCCATCTATAAAACATTTTATAAAAATTTTCCCTCAAATTTTGAGCCTGCATAAATTTAACATTTATTTATTTATTTATTTATTTATGAGACTTATATACTGCTTTAAGTGCAAGCACTCTCTAAGCGGTGTACACCAGTAAGCAATGTATATATATATTTACATTGTCCCCAACAATCTGGGTCCTCATTTTACCTACCCCGGAAGGATGGAAGGCTGAGTCAACCTTGAGCCGGTGAGATTTGAACCGCTGACCTGCTGAACACAGTCAGCTAAAGTGGCCTGCAGTACTGCACTCTAACTGCTACGCTACCTCGGCTCTTCTAATCCAAATTACCTCCCATAAATCCAATGAAATTGGTTCCTGAATATTCTGGGCCCATTTAATCATACAATCTTTTACTAACTCTGTTTCCGAATCCAATTTTATTAACTCATTGTAAATTCTTTTAATGTGAGCATATTTCTGATCTTTAATCTGAATTACCAAATTTTCATCTGCTAAAGTAATTCCCAGTTTCTTATCTAAGGTCCACCTCTCCACTGTTTGCAAATATTGAAACCATGATTGTAAAATATTTTCTTGCCTTAGCACATCTGAAGACTTTAGCTGCCAATCAGTACCCGACCAAATAAGTAATTCTTTATACAAAATATTATCAAAATTCACCCCCTTAGAAACCCCCTGAATTGCTTGTCCAGGAATCCCCCAAATAGGTATTTTATAATTTAACTTATAATAATACTTCTTCCAGACTCGAAGTAAAGCATTTCTTAAAATGTGTGACTTAAAAACCTTATCTACTTTCTTATCAAAAATTAAATATGCATGCCAACCATATAATAAATCCCAACCTTCAAGAACAAGAATATTTTTATTTGTTAAATTAAGCCAGTCACTTAAGTTAAAATGGCCGCATCATAATATAATTTCAAATTAGGTGCTTTAAGTCCACCTCTTTCTCGAGTGTCTTGTAAAAACTTAAACTTTACCCTTGATTTCTTCCCACCCCAGATAAATTTATTGATACCCTTCTGCCACTCATCCAAATTAGCATCCTTTTTTAAAATAGGTATCATCTGAAACAAAAAAAGAAACTTTGGTAGAACATTCATCTTTACTACTGAAATTTTCCCCAGTAATGATAATTGTAATTTTTTGCCAATCATTTAAATCTTTTTGTACTTTTACCCATAAGCGTTCATAATTATTCTTATACAATTTTCCATTAGATGTTGTAATATATATTCCTAAATACTTAACCTTATTAACTACTTCATAACCTGTTGCTTCTATAATATCTTTTCCCTTCATAGACATATTTTTCAATAATATTTTAGTTTTATTCTTATTCACCTTAAAACCAGAGACCTGTCCATACTGTGCTAAAATTTCAACCAAGTCTCTGACCGAATCTATTGGATGGGATAATGTCACAACCAAATCATCAGCAAAAGCTCTCAGCCTATAATCAATCTTACTTATTTTTATTCCTTTTAATTTAGATGAATCTCGAATTTTAATAAGTAAAATCTCCATTGTTAATACAAATAGCAAGGGGGATAAGGGACAACCCTGTCTCGTACCTTTTTCTATTTTAAATACATCTGTTAATCCCCCATTAATTATAATTTGTGCTGATTGTTGCTGATATATGGCCTTGAGAGCACACAAAAATTTGTCTCCAAAGTTCATTTCTTCTACGACTTTCAATAAAAATTTCCAGTCTAATTGATCAAAAGCTTTCTTAGCATCTATAAATATTAAAGCAGCAGGGATTTGGTTGTTCTTATCCAAATACTCTATTAAATTAACAATTTGTCTTACATTATTTTTCATATATCTTCCCATTATAAATCCAGATTGGTCAGTATGAATCAATTGTTTCAAAACCTGCATTAATCTATTTGCCAGTATCTTTGCAAAAATCTTATAATCTGTATTTAAAAGAGATATACCTTTATAAATTATTTTATCTATAGTCCTCGATTTCTGTTTCTTACGTAATTGATAAGCCAACCATCTACCAGGTTTATTTGCATTACAAAATGTACTGTGTTTCATATACCTCAAATTAGTTGCCATCTGATCCGCTATTAACATATTAAATTGCTCCTTAAGCAGAGTTATAGAAACCTTTAAGTTATTATCCATTGGGTTTGATATTAAAATCTTTTCTTTACATTTAATCTCATCTTCCAACTCTTTACGTTTCTGAATCTGTTTACGTCTATGAGCATTATTCATAGAAATCAAAATCCCTCTCATATATGCTTTACTAGAATCCCATACCATTGGCATCAAGGTACCCTTATTCATGTTCCAAGCAAAAAATTCCTTTAAATAAACTCTACATCTCTGTATATTCTCTTCATATCTAAATAAATTCTCATTCAACCTCCAAGACCTTCTAGTCCCTTCTTCCAGCAAAATTTCCAACCATGCAGGACTATGATCTGAAATTATTCTAGGAAATATCTTGGTATTCTTCACCCTAGAAAAGAAATCATTAGTAACTAAAAAAAAGTCAATTCTAGAATAAGATTGGTGCCTATCTGAAAAAAGGGTAAAATCTTTTTCTCAATGTTCTGTTTTCTCCAAGTGTCTCTAAGTTCCAAATCATCCTTTAAATCAAAAAAAGCTTTAGGAAGTCTTGCATGATTAGAAACTTTAGAAGAACCCTTCTTATCTTTACTTGAATCTAAAACACCATTCCAATCTCCCATCATAATAACTGACTGTAATCCAAAGAAATTAATTTCTGGTGAATCATCTTGTAGAAATATTTTTGTTGTTGATTGGGAGCATATAATCCAACAAGAAGAGTTCTCTTATCATTTATTAATAAATCAATAATGACATATCTTCCTTGTGGATCAAAATCAATTAGTTTCGGTGAAAGCTCCTTTCTCACATAAATAACTACACCTCCTTTTTTCTGCAAAGCAGGAGCTATGAAATGTACCCCCAGCCAAGGGTTAAACAAATATTTTTGATCTTTAGAAATAATATGAGTCTCTTGTAAACAAATAATATCATTTCTGTGTTGTTTCAAATAATGAAAGACTTTCTTTCTTTTCTGTGGTGAATTGAGACCGTTAACATTCCAGGTTAGAAGCTTTGCCATTCTTGGCAGGTTGAAGCCTTTGGAACAAAACCTCTAAATTTACAGTCAATGACCTCTTTGGCCTTGCTCCTCCCACTGGCTCCGAAGTAGACTGTGATGAAACTCCATCATCTATCTTTTGTTGTTGTTGCTGTTGTTGTTCTCTTTCTCTACGTTTATGAGCAGCACGTGTAATTCTCTGTTCCCTTGGGTCTTCCGTTATTTGCAAACTCTGTTGCATAGATTCAACCAATAATTCTTCTCCCCAAAATGGTATTGAACCTACAGCCAACTGTGCTTCTGCCTTGCTCTCATCCTTTTTTGATCTTGGAGATGGTGGTAGACCTCCTTTTAAAGCAGTAATATAGAAATCTCTTGCTTTTGAAATTGTATTAAGATGATAACGTGTACCAATATAGGTCACCACTATCTCCACAGGTATATCCCATCTAAATTGAATTTGTCATTTCTTAAGTTCTTCAGCCAAAAAAGCAAAGTCTTTTCTTTTTCTGAGAATTTTGGAAGGTATTTCCTTTAAAACTATCACATCCTGAGCTGCAATCTGAAATCTTTGCTTATAGAAAGCCTGTATGATTTCATTACGAAGTGATTTTCTAGCAAAATAAACCATCACATCTCTTGGTAATTTTCTCTGTTTTGCAACCCACGAATTGACTCTGAAGATCTTTTTTATATCTCTCAACATTCCTTCAGGATCACATTCCAAAATAGAAGCCAGTTCTGCTGCAATTTCTTCTTTCAAATTCTCCTGAACATTTTCCTTCAAGCCTCTTATTCTCAAAGCATACTCCATTTCTCTATATTGTGACATTATAATTTCATTCTGTGCAACATCCACATTATTTTCTATTTTTTCAACTCTGTCTTGTAATATTTCAACATTACCAACCACCTCATCCACACAGTCGTCAATCTTTTCTACAAGATTAGCAAGCCCCTGGAGTGCAAACACAATATCTTCCCTCAGCTCATTATTTTTTGGAGCCAGGAGCTCTGCTGTGTTTTGCACAGTCTTATCCAAAGCGTCTTGTAAATCCTAAGTGTAATTGCCTGAGGTGGAGGAGAAGGTGGGGAAGATTTAGGTTTAGGTTGTTGTACAGTCTGAGTTACTGGAGAAGAAATTGAAGTTTTAGGAAGAGAAAAAGGTCCAGGACGTTTTAAAGCCATTTTTTAAAACAGAAAAAAAATAATAATAAAATAGGAATAAAGGAGAAGAAAAAGCAATTTCCCCTTTAAAAAGAAGAATTTTCTTTAAGTAAACCAAGTCTATTACGTTGTTGAAACTTTGTTGCCAGTTAAAAATAGTGAATGGAAAGTAGAAAGTGAAAATTCTCAGACAAAAAAAATAACAAAGAAGGAGGATTCCTCCGCCATATTTCTTCACTCTGATTAAAGTAATAACAGGAGAAAATGTTAATTCTCACTGAGTTAAGTTTAAAATAAAATCATCCAATTCTTGTCTTCCTGACCGCTCTGTCTGCTTTTAAATTAACTTACAGTTTCCATTTAAGCAGCAGCAGTGGAAGCAGCACCTAGCTTTGTTCTCCTGCTGGAGAACAAAGGTGTCTAGGGAAGCCGAGCACACCCAGACTCCGAAGGAGCTCTCACTCTTCGTCTCCCAGGAAAAAATCTCTGGGAGATTAGTGAGGCTCTACTTCTATCCAGGAGAAGGCTCACCTTCCTCCTTTCGCCCGGGAGGAAGGTTTCAAGCTGCAAAACAGCTGATCGGCGCTGTTTTGTCAGCTTTTACACTTTCCTGTGACGGACAGCTGTCAGAAAGCCGCCATCGTCACGGCGCAGCCACCGGAAGCCAATTTGCTTTAAGAATTTTATATACAAAATATATCTGACAATGAAATATAGCATATAAATACAATCTAGATGCAAATTTTATGTTAGATTTAGTAAAAATATGTTCCCCATTCAGAAACCAATTTTATAGGAAGGTAGATCAACTAGCATTATTTTATTCTCTAAATATTTAATTTGAAAAAAAAAATGCTGTTCTCCTAAGGGTGGAATCATCATGTGCAGATGAATATGTAGCAATTTGAAGAGCTTGCTGACCAATTTGTAGGATCATCCAATAAATATTTTGGTTTTTTTATTTTCACGTAGACTAAGAAAGCAAGAGAGCAAACCATACTTTTGAAATGATACAAATATTAAATATGATTTAGAATCATTCATTGCTAAGTGCATTCCCTTTTTCTTTTAGGATAAAGCACATGAGGTCTTTGTGACAACAGCAAACTGGTAACCATTTATTTCTTATTTTTAAAATGATTTCTGGTAATTTAATAGTTCAGTTTTGTCACCTTTTAGAAACCAGATCAATTAGTTTGACCTTTTCCCATCTTGCCCACCAAAGAGATAAATAAACATCTAATTCTCATTCTGCACTTCTTCCGTGTTTAGCCAGGAATGCAGGGTTAGGAATGGTGAAGTGTCAAAAAAACAACCCCCCCCCCAAAAAAACCTCTCAACTTGTTTTAAACCAGAGCTGAAATAAACATTTGCCAATATTCAGAATGTGGTATAATTCCACATATTGTCAGAATAACAGAACAGAGTAACAGAGTTGGAAGCAACCTTGGAGGTCTTCTAGTCCAATTCAAGCAGGAAACCCTATACCATTTCAGGCAAATGGTTGTCCAATCTCTTCTTAAATTTGACAATTAAGAAATCATCTCTGATTATAATTTATGTCTGCAATTTAAACTCAGTGATATTTGTAGAGTTATACTTTTATAGTCATAATGATTTAGTGTGGTCTAGAAAGTCTTTCATTTCTCTTTTTAAATAGCAATAATGAAAATTGAAATATTGGTCACCTACGAAATACAAAATAAAATTTCAAGTTAATTGCACATGTTAAGCCATTTCAGGTATTACTATGAATATAATTTCTTCATAGCCATGCTCCATGCAGCTCTATATGGTATCTCTTTGCTTTCTGACTGCTAGGTCTGACTGACGCTTTTGATTAATTCTAATTGGAATTCTGAAACTATGTTTATTAATTCCAAATTCTGCTACATACTAACCAAAATGTGCCATTTTTTAGCATTCACAGAGCATATTTAATCACAAGGAAGCCAAAGACTGTAACTGGAGATACATGGAAGAAGGAGAAATAAATATTTATGTTTTCTACCTGGAGCAATTTAACATGCAAGTGAATCCAACAAAGAATATTACACAATTACAGGCAAACATTCACAGTAGAGCCAAATATTCTCTCTTTTCACACTTACAAGTTATCTTGATAGACAGCTACACAGCTTACACAAATTGTGAATTGTCAAATATTCTCCCCCTTTGATGCTTACAAATTATGCTGGTAAACAGCTTGCACAAATTGTGAATGTGTTCAAATCACGATGCTTTCATTAGCATGCATTATGATATGAGTTTCTATTATCTAGCCAGAAAAGCCTTGATATGCGTTTGGGCTTTGATCTCTGTCCAGAGGAACAGGATTTCATCTGTCAGCGCAAGAAATATGTTGCTGCTGCTTTGAAAAATGTTCTTCGGCTAGAAGGAGAACTGCAGATGAATGAGGTATGACCTGTCACAAAGCAACATAAAAGAAGCAAAGAAAGTGGTGGTGATGGGTAAGGCTGCCATATACACATACATACATACATACATACATACATACATACATACACACACATATATCAGATATACATATATACATACATATGTATATATACATACACACATACACATACATACATACATATACATACATACATACACACACACACACTGAGAGACACACATATATACTAACGCACAAGAGACACATACATATATACTGACACCTTTGGAGAATAGCTTGACTCCCTCTTCTTTGTGGCAACCCCGAGATATTGAAACACTGCTATCACGTCACCCCTAATCCTTCTTTTATTAAAATAGACATACCCAATCCCAGCAACCATTCTTTATGCTTTAGCCTCCAGTCCCCTGATCATCTTTGTTGCTCTTCTCTGTACTCTTTCTAGAGTCTCAACATCTTTTTTACATCATAGTGACCAAAACTGGATGCAAGTGTGGCTTTACCAAGGCATTATAAAGTGGTATTAACACTTCATATAATCTTGATTCTGTGCCTCTGTTGATGCAGCCTAGAATTGTGTTGGCTTTTTTGGCAGCTGCTGCACACTGCTGGCTCATATTTAAGTGATTGTCCACTAGGACTCCAAGATCCCTCTCACACTTGCTACTATTGAGCCAGGTACCACCTATGCTAAATTAAAAAAAATTAAAGTAATAGTAAAAGTAAAAGAGTGATAATACATGGAGATTCCCTGGAAGAGCTTCTGGAAGCTACAGCAAGTATAAAATATAGGCAATTACTCTTGATCCATACATGCTCCTTTATTTCTGGGTTCAGTTCCAGATGCTGGTTGTAACCTATAAAACTCTTCCTGGTATTGGACCAGGTTATTCGAGGGACTGCTTCTGCATGATTAAGTCCACTTTTCCCATTAGATCTAGTAGGAGAGTCATGCTCTGTTCCCCATTTATTATGGAGTGCAATCTGACATGCTCAAGATGTCATGCCTTTTCTGTCATGACATGTACTGTTTGGAACATCATTCCCCTAGAGCAGGGGTAGGCAACCTTGGCTCTTTTATGACTCATGGACTTCAACTCCCAGAATTCCTGAGTTGAAGTCCACGAGTCATAAAAGAGCCAAGGTTGCCTACGCTTGCCCTAGAAATTAGATTCATCCTGATCCTGGTGGCCTTAAATATTTTGTTTTGTCATTGGGTCTGGGGAACAGGGAGTGGATTTGACCCCATACCTTGGTTATGTTAACTTGTGATCGATGGATCTATTTTTACCCAGCTGCTGTTTTATTTCTGTTGGTTTTCTTTGTCTGTTTTATAATATTTTTATAATTTCTTTTAATGCTGTTAAAGGTTACCCAGAGTCATGAACATGAAATGAATATCCATATAAACTGAAATAATGAATGAATTTTATCAATTTGTCTAAAAAGAGCAAAAGCTACATCATATTAAAAAAAATTGAAATGCGCTAGATTATAGGCACCAAACGATTTTAGACTTTATTAGAAGCTTGAATAGATATGGGCCTTTTTACAGTAATGGAACCAAGACTGATATTTTTTCATTTTATTTATATCCTGCCTTTATTATTATTTTTTATAAAGAACTCAAGGTGGTGCCATGTGAGGTGAGTTGGGCTGAGAAAGATTGACTGGCCCAAGGACACCCAGCTAAAACGGGATTAGAATTCATATTCTCCCAGTTTCTAGCTTGATGCCTTAACCACTAGACAAAACAGCCTCCCAATTGGAAGTTGGAATAAGGAAAGTCTTGAACAATGGACAGGGTAAAAGCATTTAATGGAATTTAGAGATCGTTGAGAGTTTCTACACTAGTGTCTGGTGTCTTTCTGCCACCATATAGTGATTTATCATTAACATGGAAAGGCTGAGTGATAGGGATGTGGTTGTTTTCTCTATTTCTGCTCATTCTTACTGGAGTGGTACACACTGAGCAAAGAGTCTCTAATCCAATTATTGTAGTAGCTGTGATTATTTCTCAATAGGGCAGGTCCTAGGGGTTTATCAGTGAATAGCTGTTTGACATAATGTTTTAAAAAATAGACTTAGCTTCCCAAGTGTTTTCAGGGATGATTTAGTGAAAACCCAGGGCTTTTTTTTTATCATAGAACGCCCAGAACGGAGTTCCGACATCTTTTTTGGATGGAACCTTGTAGGGTAGGCAAGGCGGATTGTATGACATGTATGAGTTCTGGCACCTTTTTTTTTTTTTTTTTTACAAAAAAAAGCACTGTGAAAACCTATTGCAATGTTTGAGTTTGTGAGCCATGTATAGAAAGTACTAATCTCATGTAAGCATGCTCCCAAAGGTGCAACTGGACTTTCTTGTTTCTTCAGAGCTGAAGGAGGTTCTTGGATGAGAAGCAAAATGTCTTCAGAGAAAAACAAGAAAATCCAGTTGTCTCATGAAAAAACATCTTTGGGCTAACTCTGACTTGGATGACTGAGAATCTCCATAGTGTGCTGTCGTACACCCATGGTGGGAACTAGAAAATTGCTTGATAAGGTCTCTAGATATTATGCTTGAGGTTTGTGGATTTTTCCATATATTTTCCTTTAAGCTTGCTTGCATTATTCTGGGACAAGGGCCATTAACATCTACCTGTTTTTTTTTTAAAAGAAACATTTCTTGTGGAAATGATGCCATTTTGCACAATAATATGTATAATAATCCTAGTTTCATTTCAGTTAGCTCGTAGTGGGTTATATATACATCTGCCTCTTTTATTCAAACATGATTTTTACTTGGGAACCGAAGCATTTAATTGTATTTATACCTGTGTTTATTTAGGTTCCAGTAGTGGCTCTGATGACTACAGCTGGGGGAGTAAGATCAATGACAGCCATGTATGGGAGCCTATTAGGTTTCCAGAAACTCAATCTCTTGCACTGTGTTTCATACATCACTGGTTTATCTGGCACAACATGGTAAGGAAGCCATGAACAACATTACTGAGAGAATGTGGGTACCAGGGGGAGAGTTTTCATTTGGATCATCATGGGGAATTAAAGGTTAAATATTTTCTCCTCAAATATTCACTCCTGGGGAAATTTGTAGTCCTTTGGCCTATAATTAAATTAATGAACAAAAACTAGACCAAATTACGAATTGTGCTCTAATGTTATATTTTCCCGTCCTTCCGTATTTCTTTTTCTTCCATCCTGAATTAGTACAGAATTCTTTCCCATGAGATGGACATGATTCTTTTGCTAATGCAATCAAACGCTGCAATAGTTTCTTTTGCAGTCAATTAAAAAAGAAACCAACCTGAATTTTTTTTCTTCTATAAATCTAATTTGGGAAGTCAATTCCTTGCATTCCTTGTTACATAGAAGTTTTAATAAAGGAAAATTTGTAGCATTTTATCCAAATACCTTAAACAAATACTTGAATCCCTCTAACTGTCCTTTTTTGGCATGCTGCATTTTGCTTATTAACAGGCAACAGTTTAGGTTAATGTGATGGGAAAATTGAAATAATTATGAAAGAATCTATACATATAAAATTTTGCTTTCTGGTCAGCTCATGACAATTCCCATTGCCAGTTTTTTCAGAGATGCCAGAGTTTTCTTTGTGCTCACTGCTGCAGTGTTCCCCTTCTCTTCCTGGCCCCTCTCCATAATTTTACACCCTATATGTGTTCATATAAAGTGCATTCCTTTCCTGGATATTTAATATTTAGTCAGTATGCGATAATATTCTCTGGGCCACTTGATAGAATTGTACAGACCAACATGATGAAGGTAGAGATAAGTTGGTAAATGGCTATGTTTGTTTGCCCATAGAGAAGAATATTTGTAGGTCAGGGTTGAGATGAGGGTCCTTGGTGCTTTGTGAGCTTGAATATTTTCTTGCAGACATCATTATTTGTTGATGATGTTACCTAGTTTGGTTAATGAAATGTCTGCAAGAAAACAATTAAGATCAATGTCAAGGTTCTGACTGACAAACCCAACCAAGTAGACATTTTCGAGACATTCTGATCTCTTAATGTAAAACTTTATTGAGTACATCACTTTGGCACAAATGAAAGCAAAACTAGGTCTGGCAAGACCCCTCCCAAACCCATAGAGTAAAAGCATTTTATTCTCCCTCCTCCCTCTTGGTTAGGTCATGTTGCCCAATCAAGTAGAAAAATATTGTTATGAGAAAGTGTCTCTGGGTCTAGCCAGTTGCCTGGTGGACTGTCCTTGAGTCTCACGGTCTGACTTTTTAATCTTTGAAGACTGCATTCCAATCCCTTCCCCTCCCCCCGAGTTCATTGGCAAGCCGAGTAGCAGAATTTGTTGCACCAGCAAAACTGTGCTTCGACACTCAGAGAGCACCAAGGACCCCTTATGTCTGTTTATTCAAAATTACTATTTAATCGAAACATAAAAGCTGGTTTTTATCTATTTGTTTGATTGATTTCTATAGTTGCCCATCGCAGTAAATAATTCTGGGTGGCTTACAATTCAAATTCCTTTTCTTAGGAGTATGATAAATTTATATAGAGATCCATATTGGTCACAGAAGAATCTAGAAGGTGTGATCACTGATGTTCGGAAACAAGTGATGAAGAATAAACTGTGCTGTTTTAGTGGAGACCACTTGAAATATTATGAGAAGGAAATATTGAACAGATATGATGAAGGTCACAAGCTATCATTTTCAGATCTCTGGGGACTAATACTTGAATCCATGTTTCATGATGAGGTACTATATTCAAATGTTTTCCTTTAAAGATAATATAAATTATAGAAAAATACAGGGAATGGTCCTTGCTACTGTTTCTTTAATTATATGAAGACAAAAAAAACCAGACAAAATATCAATTGCCTATATACTGGCTTGTTTGTCCATTCCACACTATCTACTATCACCTAGTAGCAAATATCTGTCACAGATTAGCTAAGAAGACTTGAATAGTTATCTGGAGCCTTCATAAATTCAAGAAGAGTCCTATTTCACAGAAGATAAACCTATGATGTTTTGTGAAAACAGAATTACACGAGGAAGTACTAATCAACATTGTATTTTCATATTAAAACATTTTTTTAAAAAATACATGCACAATATTGCCTTACCAACCTAGTGAAATGATAGATCACACCACAATTATTACTAAAACTTATTTTTAGATATAATGGAATAAGCATGAGCTCAGCTTTGCTGCTTTCTTATTTTTAACTCATATCTGTATCCTGAAATCAAAAAACATCTGTTGAGATGATTGAGCACAAATGGCATAAGAGATGACCTTCAGAAACTTATTATCAAGTTTCATTTTTAAAATTTTTATTTATTTGTTAAATTTGTTTGCTGCCCATCTCTCCCATTCATTGTAAACTGTCCATTATAATATGCTAATTTATATTAATCAATCAGAATAGAGCTGGAAGGGACCTTGGAGGTCTTCTAGTCCAGCCCCCTGCTCAAGCGGGAGAGCTTATACCTTATATATGTTTATCTGAATTTCTGATCAGGATTTGGATGATCATTTCCAAATACAAGTATGATCTTGAAAAGAATTGGATACAAATGACAGCAATATTTGTTTTTTTCCCTGTCTTTTCCTTTTCTACTAACGTTTGTTTTTCTTGCACAGCCAGATCCCCATAAGCTCTCAGATCAACGACAGGCAATAAATCTAGGTCAAAACCCTCTTCCTATCTACCTTTCTCTTAATGTCAAGAAAAGATATAGCACTTTAGATTTTAAAGGTAAGATACTATTTTCAAAATATGACTTTAATTTGAAGGCTAAATGCCCATAAAGTTTATTGACCAAAAAAGAAAAATCATAGTGATCTGCTCTAGCCTGCCCCTACAGTATTCCCTGGTATCTGTCTCTCATCTGGGTATGATACTGCTTAGTCAGACAAGATCACCCAAGGGCTCTTACCTTCTCCGGCTAATTTGATTCGGGAAATCACAAAAATAGCATGCATAAATATAAGCCCATAGCTTTTATATCAAAATTTAACATAAAACATTATCTATTGAGTGGTGTTAATAAGCTTTGTTAGTTGTGCTAATGAAGACAAAATTAAAACATGCTTACCGAGTGTAGCCCGAATTAATCATTTTGGTAACTCTTGGGAAAATAATTTGCAAATCTGTGCATCTTACTCTGAATGCACATTCAAACTACAGTATACATCAAATTGACTAGATCAACGGTTCTCAACCTTTGTGTGACGGCGACCCCCGTCACACGGACGCGCCGCGCATGCGCGGTGTTGCCCCCATGCGCGGCGCGCATGCATGCCGCCGCCCCCTGAGGGGGAAAAATGGCGGATCGCGTTGTTTGGCGACCCCCATAAAATGGTCATTCGACCCCAAATGGGGTCGCGACCCATAGGTTGAGAACCACTGGACTAGATCCTCAGAATATCAAGAATAATTTAAACATTGAATTTAAGCCAGATTATCCAATTATGACAGATTGTAGTGAGTTTTGCTGGAAAATTACAGATAATACCTTTTACTTAGATGGGTTGGAGAACATTGAAAAATAATTGATCTGATACATTGATGAATGAATAGCATACAGTAAAGCCTAGACCAGTGGAGGCAGTTTAATCCTTATACATGGTATAAAATAATGGCAAAGCCTTGGGCTGAATTTTGTATGGACCCCTGCATCATGGAAATCTGTCTTAGAATCCAGGCTAGAGAGGGGAACAAGTACATTCTGTATGAATATACTTTTGTGACTGTTTATTTCTCACTGAACTGACTTTTTTTTTCAAATTACCAGCAGTCATAGCCCGAAAAGGAATTGTATCTGTGTGATCTTATGTTATATAAATATAATTTTTCTCTACAGTATACATAACCAATTTTTTAAGATTGCTGATTATTAGTTTGTATATACACATGTGGCTCTCTGTGTTTATGTCTCTGTGTATTTGTGCTATATCTGCAGAATGGGTGGAATTCACACCCTATGAAGTGGGCTTCTTGAAATATGGAGCATTTATTAATGCAGAGAATTTTGGAAGTGAGTTCTACATGGGTCACTTGATGAAGAAGATTCCAGAATCCCGGCTTTGTTTTATGCAAGGTAATTTAGCTAAACAAATAAATTAGATTCTTGACTTTCATATGGCAAGAATGTACTATGTATCCAATTTTTATACATTTTCGATATACATATTAACACAAATTGCTTATGTAGTTTTTTTATATTAATTACTGAGCAGTGGGAAGCAGTACAAAACCTCCTACAGTAGCTACTATAACTCTTAATAGCTAATATCTATATACGTTTTAAGGGGAGATGGTTTTGAAACCTCTAGCACAGTGGTTCTCAGTCTATGGGTCGGGACCCCATTTGGGGTCGAATGACCATTTCACGGGGGTCGCCAAACAAGGTTGTCCGCCATTTTTTCCCCCTTTTCTTTGGCCACGCCCCTGGCACCCAGTGATGTATAAGTGGTTGGGGGTCACCACAACATGGAGAACTGTATTATGGGGTCGCAGCATTAGAAAGGTTGGGAACCACTGCTCTAGCAGAAGGTCCAGGCCAACAAATATTAAAAAAACCCTCTCTCTAGTATAGGAACATATACTGTAGAAAAAAAGGGCATATGAATAGCTTCTATTCTTTTTGCTATGATTTCCATCTTAGGTAATGGGAATACCATGTACTGAAAGGTCTACTAAGTTCTTGTTAAATATTCTTTGTTTCCCAGGCATGTGGAGTAATATCTATTCCCAGAACCTTCTTGATGCCTTATATTTAGCAGAACATTCAGAAGATTTCTGGCATAGGTGGACAAGACCTAGAATGTATGAAATCGGTCAGTAGACTGTTATTTCTCTTTTGATTAATTTGCCCTTGAGTGATATGCACATCCATTAAAAACATATTCAATACATAACAAAACATACCCCCCCGAAAACTAAAGTCAAAACAACAATGAAACAACGTGATTTTTAAAATCAAGAGAAAACCAGTCATAATTTAAAGCAAGCAATGTATTCAAAATAATTTTAGATCAGGGTCCTCAAATTCTTCAATTCATTGACTCAAATTGTTCATCAACTCCCAAACTTTTATTATAGAAAACAATTTAATTAATCTACTTTAACTACTACTAACAATTCAAGGCCACTCTCATTGGTAGCTGACTCTGGTCAACATTGCCTTGCTGCTAGGCACCTCACCTTCAGGACAAGGGAGAGATACCCCCAAAGATTAATTGACTCCAATCAACATTCCATTATTTATTGTATAAATCCCAAATATTTATTGATCCCTTGGATAGACCTACAGTATCAACTCTTGGGGTTCAATACTGACCACTTTGGAGAACCCTTCTCTAGATGGACTGAATTCTGTGTTTCCAATTAAAAAAGAACTATAACGTAATTTTGTCCTGGGCCAGTGCAGAACTTTGAGGAATATGATCCATGGGACATTTATTAAAGGCCAATTCCAGCCAGGGCCTGAACTTCCATACCTCTTGCCTGGCAAATGTAATACAGACATGGCAGCAGTGTGCTAAAGTATTGGACTAGAGTTAAGAGACTGTATGGTCAGTATACTAGAAGGCCCATCCAAAGGAGAAAAGTAAGAATATTGTGAAATTTATTTTTCTACAAAATCAAAATTTGGTAAAATGGCAGTTACTGAATTTGCCCTTTTAAGTAACATTCAATTTTATCTGACATTTATCTTGGCAAACTGCAGATAACCTCTTAAATTGTTTTTTTTTTTTTTGGCCCTTTCAAGAATACAACTGGTTGTTGCAGGATCCAATCTGGGTTGGTCATCGGAACCAGAGGTTTCATCTTCTATGCTTTTGGACTCCTGCTGGAGCCCCCATCCTCGGGGAACTTCTCTCTCACCAAATGCATTGCCTCTCTGAATGGGTTGTTTGAATGATGAATCTAAATAAAGCTTTCTCTATTTTACAGCAGAAGATATTCCCCCTTGGTTACCTAAGAGACCATATGTGCAGCCAACACGACTTTTCATCCCTAATGGTTCTGTGTCAGATGTGATTAGAGATGTTATAACCCTGCGTCCAGTTGTTGCATGCTTTCCCAATTTTTTGAAAGGTCTGCAGCTGAACAATAAATACTTGGAGAACAACAGGTTTTCTATGTGGAAAGGTAATATAGACAAAATTTCTTTATTTTCTCTCTTTACCTTCCTCATTCTGTTCATAGTGATTATTTCTCATGATTCTGCACCACCACCACAATAATATATAGACCGGGAGATTGTAGAAAACAGACCTGTGCAAAAAGAAATTAAAAGTGGAATAACTTAAAAAAAGTGTGACTATATTGTTTGACAGTATTATTTGCTTTTTATTTTTTATTTTTCTCTTGCTTTCTTTTTTTCCCACTGAAAAAAAATCTTAAGTCATATGTTGATCAATAAGAATATGAATAATCTGTTGCTGGAAATCAGTTATAAATTCTCTTTCAAGAGCTAAGTGATCATTTTTTTAGTCAATTGCCATATATGAAAAATCCATAATTCTTGATTGTTGTTGTTGTTGTTGTTAATTGTGAAGTCGTGTCCGACCCGTCACGACCCCATGGACAATGTTCCTCCAGGTCTTCCTGTCCTCCATCTTCTGGAGTCCATTTAAATTCACACCTACTGCTTCAGTGACTCCATCCAGCCATCTCATTCTCTGTCGTCCCCTTCTTCTATTGCCCTCAATCTTTCCCAACATTAGGCTCTTCTCCAGTGACTCCTTCCTTCTCATTAGGTGGCCAAAGTACTTGAGTTTCAATTCTTGATACTAAATTCCAAATTTCAAAAACATGGTCAAGAAACACATGAATGCATAACAAATAACAATGCCATCAATATAAAGTTTGAAGTAATATTAACCACTATATTAACAATATTACTTACACTTAAAAGTTTTAATTCTAAAATTATCAAAAACATTTTAAACCAATCCTGATAGGGAGGTATAAGAGTGCAATATCTTTTAGGTATCTTCCGTCCCCCTGACTTTGATATTATATATTGTGTGTGTTTGATTATCTAGGGTTATTTCAGTCACTCAGCAATTTTAAAGTAAAGACTGATTTATCTTCGTTGAGAGTTGCAATAAAATTGTCATGTAAAATTGACTCAATCTTGCCTGATTCACATGGTACAAGAATTGAGGGATTGGGCTGTTATACAGTCATAGAACTCAAAGAAAGTACACCCTCTTTGAGTTCTATGGTTTTATGTATCAGGACATAGAAAAATAATCTCGTCCTTAGAAGTTCTTAAAATTAGGTTAATACAATCTCAGATGAACAACAACACAGGACATATTACACTATGTCATCATTTATTTTACATAAAGAATGCCAAAATGGAGGAGCCATGTGTGAATAACTAAATTCAACAGCTTATAGAACCACTTTAACAGCAATAACTTGAGGTAATCATTGTGGAGGAATTTTGGCCTTTTCTTCTTTACAGCATTGCTTCAGTTCATTGAGATCTGTGGGCATTTGTTTATGCACAGCTGTCTTCAGGTCCTGCCAGAGGATTTCAATTGGGTTGAAGTCTGGACTTTGATTGGACCATATGCCCACAAAAGGAAGTTTTTCTGGACCCCCTTGAGTTTACAAAAGGGCAAAATATCTATGTGATCTGAAGAGAAATGAGAAACGAGAATTTGATAAATTTCTAAAATTTAATTTAGCTTTTCCTGAAATTCTATATCTGAAATTATCTCCTTGATAATATATTTAACTGCTTCAAATTCTAAGATAAATAGATGCTTGAAGAAGAAGCTATAGAAGTGCAGGCTACTTATTATGCTGTTTTACTTCTTTACATTTTAATACTCAAGTGATGAAAACAATCCAGCTGTAGCCTGTTTATCTTTATTTTTATCCAAGTAAATAAAATGCCTGGCTGAATTCTAGCTGTGATTCTGAATAGACTGGTTTGTAGTCTCAAATCTTCATTAGGGGCACATCTAGGCTTTAACAAAAGAGTTCTTTAAATATCTGGTTGCATTTTTTGAAGAGCGCCAAATTGGACAGAATTGCACCCCAGTTATGTGATTGATGTTGCAGGCAATTTGATGGCAGTTGGAATAAAATAGTCTCCTAGCATCCAATGACATCTTAGAATTGCTTTAGCTCATACACATGTGTAAATTGTTTGGTTTGGAGAACATTAATACCTATTAAAATTAATCTTAAAAATTATATATTACACTATTTATTAAAATACTGTTTAATAGTCATTTTATATGATTTCTTCAATTGCTGTTTCTCATTTTTGTACCCAGAATAAATTAAGCAGCACATAATAAGATAAATTATTTCGATGATCAGATTTTCCAGAAACTGCAATACTGTATAATTGCATTTTCATGTCCAATGGTGAAAAGAAGCAAAATATGAAGAAATAAAAAATATGGATTTTGTATGGGGAATTATAACTGCATTGCTTCATTAGTTACTGGAAGATTGCTTATTTGTCATGAATGAAGGCAAATATATGTGTCATGGATAATATTGCAGGAGTCAATCTGAGTTGGTCATTGGGACCAGAGGTTTTTTTTTCTTTCAAGCCTTTATTCTTGTGCTGGAGCTCATCCACCAGGAACTTTTCAATCTCCAGGATATTAATTTGTCATCTTTTCTCACATTGCCACCCCTGACATAATATATTTCTGGATTAAGTCATTAGAGTATTCTATGAATGAGAGGTATATAGAGATTGCTGAATTTGTTTTGAGAGTCATATTTGATACTTTGAAAATTTCCATTCTCCATCCAGGTGATGCTGGAGATAGTCTATCCCAACTTGTTTGTGGTTTTGAAATATAGTTTGTTAACACATACTTCGAAGAACGTGCATGTCTTTTAATTTTTAACTGAGAGATTGCAGTACAGCCAAACTGCTCTTTTACCCATAGCCAGTTTCTAATTTCTCAGGTTTAAAATTGAAGCTGTGGAAGAAGTCAGCTCTAGACAAGAGGCTTTTTATGTAAATATTGAGGGAAAGATGATATTTCTTTCCCAATACTTTCATAGTCATCCCTTCTGACAACACTGACCATAGTGCATCACAAGCTAGATTTCAGTCTTTATTTACAATCATTTAAAACTATATTTTAAGCTTTTGACTAAAAAAAACTCCACTTGCTCAGATCATTTCCCCCAAATTCTTTGCAAGTAAAACTTTACTGAGGATTATTTGCATTCTCTTTGCTTTCATTATTTATAAACTTCTTTTATAACAGGGATTGAAAACCTGTGAATCTCCAAATGTTGTTGGAAGCCCTAATGGCATAGCCAATAGAGTAATGAAGAATGATTAAAAAAAAAAAAAACAGGCCAAGAGAGCCAAAGATCACTTTAAAATGTTGGATATTGTAAATATGCATTTTGTGTTTCAGATACTATACTGGATTGTAACCCCAGTCACCTGATTGACTCTGAATATTTAGAGCTTGTAGACACAGCTTTCTTTATCAACACCAGCTGCCCACCTCTTTTAAGGCCAGAAAGACAAGTGGACATTATTATACATTTAAATTACAGTGGAGGATCACAGACATTGGTGAGAAATTTCTTTATTCTCTTTAGCCACTAGCCTCTTCATTCAGGTTTCACTTTTAAATGTTATGAGAAGATTATTTGAAGATTATTTGAAAGTCCTTCTCTCCGCCTCTCATAAAACAGTGGTGCTAGGAAGACATCCAAGGACCTTTCCAACTCTGTTATTCTGTGTTTTGTATTTCTGCCAGATATGATGTGCCTATGGTATTCCTGACAGATGCCTGTCCATAGTTTCTTCAGAGTGTCTAGCCTTTGTGAAATCAAAGTTGTATTTATATCTCTTGGGTCTTGATTACTCTTGTATTTAATGCTTTAGCCACTGGACTTAAGCACAAGATACTATCATGAGCAGGGCATCCCATTCCCTAAGACTGTTCTGACAGAAGAAGACAGGAAGCATCTCAAGGAATGTTATCTCTTTGATGATGCAGAGAGTCCAAAGGCTCCTATATTGCTGTATTTTCCACTGGTGTGTGACACCTTCCAAAAATACAAGTCACCTGGTAAGTTACAAAAATTACTTGGGGATCTCTTTATTTTCCTACTTGCTGATCTTATTTCCTATATATGTTTCTTATGTATGTGCACCCTAAAGGAATTGACAGTAATTTTTAAGCAATGGTATAAAATGAATGTATTTATTTAGCATTTGACATATCATACATGGACTAGCAATATACAAGGGCAATTCAGAAATAAACCTCTGTTTGAGCATGTGCGAGAAATAGGCGGAGATAGCAACGCCTGTTTTATGGCGCTGTGTGCAGTAGTTCAGTAGGCAGTGAGGAGTGAAAGGAGAAGGTTGTGTTGCAGTTGACTCATCCGTTAGAGCAATTGAAAATGAACCCTGCCATAGAAAATCCTGCCAAATGTGAACTGTGTGCAGTAATACAATTCTTGTGTGTGAAAACCTTTTGGAAGCTGCGATTCAATGAAAACTGTAATGTTTATGGACCAAACATGATGAGTGAAGGTGTCACATGTCAATGGTGTTGCATGTTTAAAGATGGACGAACTGACATGCACAATGAGGTAAGAAGTGGTTGCCCATCTCTAGTCAGCGATGAACTCATGCAGGAAATTGACAAAAAGGTCCGTGAAGTGCATCGGTTCATGATATCTGCACTTTCTTTACATTTTCCCCAAATTTCTCGGACTGTTTTGTATGAAGTAAGGACAGAAAATTTGGGATACCACAAGTTCTGTGCTTGTTGGGTACCAAAATTCCTTTCTGCGGAGCACAAAACATACCAAATGGTGTGCTTTGGACTTTCTCATGCATTATGCCGAAGAAGGAGAACAATTTCTTAACAGAATTGTGACTGGTGATGAGACCTGGTTGTCGTACGTGAACTCCGAAAGCAAACAGCAATCAATGGTTTGGTGTCATATGCACTTACCAAAGAAACCTTGAGTTTTGGACTTTAAGAGAGCTAATTTCAATAAACAGAGAGGGCTTGGGAAGAATTCCATGGATGAGAAGCTTGGAAAATTTTGAAAAATGAGATAATAAAAGCCCAGCCTAGCACAATACCAACAAAGAGGAAAAATAACAGCTCTCAAAAGAAAGCAGCATGGCTGCATAAAGAACTCTCTAATAAATTGAAAGATAAAAAGGACCAGTATAGAAAATGGAAAGAGGGGCACATAAGTAAATCAGAATATCAGCAAATAGCCCGAGCCTGCAAAGATGAAGTGAGGAAAGCTAAGGCTCATAATGAACTAAGGCTTGTGACCAAATTCAAAAATAACAAAAAACCTTCTTTTAATATGTAAAAAACAAGAAAAAAGTGAAGGAAATGATTGGTCCATTAGTGGACGAAAGTGGCAGAAGGTGACAAGCAATAGGGAGAAAGCAGAACTATTTAACTTGTTTTTTGCATCTGTCTTTACACAAAGGGAAAAAACAGACCAACTTATCAAAAATAGTGCCATAAAAACAGTATAGAAACACAAGTTAAGATAGGCAAGAAAATGATAAGTGAGCATCTGTCCAGCTTAAACAAGTTCAAATCACCAGGACCAGATGGATTACACCCCAATGTTCTCAAGGAACTGGCAGATGTGATCTCAGAACCACTGAACAATATTTTTCAAAGGGGGGAACTACCGGAAGACTGGAAAAGAGCTGATGTAGTTCCCATCTTCAAAAAAGGAAAAAAAATGGATCCAGGAAATTACAAACCTATCAGCCTGACTGCAAAACCTGGGAAGATTCTGGAAAAGATAATCAAACAAGGAATCAGCGAACACCTAGAGGCAAACAAAATCACTACTAAAAGCCAACATGGGTTTGTCAAAAACAGATCATGCCAGACAAACCTTATTGCATTCTTTGACCAAGTGACAAAATTAGTGGATCAGAGGAATGCTGTGGATATAATTTACTTGGACTTTAGTAAGGCATTTGATAAAGTAGATCACAACCTACTACTCGATAAGATAGAAAAAAGTGGGTTATACAGCATCACCACCAGATGGATTCATAGCTGGCTGACCGGCCGTACTCAGCATGTGGTCCTCAATGGAACTGCATCTACATGGAGGGAAGTGTGTAGTGGGGTGCTTCAGGGCTCTGTTCTATTCTCCAAGGTGCCTGAAGGCAGGACGAGAAGAAACGGATGGAAACTGATCAAGGAGAGAAGCAACTTAGAACTAAGGAGAAACTTCCTGACAGTTAGAACAATTAACCAATGGAACAACCTGCCTCCAGAAGCGGCACACATGGTCTGCCAGAAAGGTTATGGCAACAGTATTCTGGGATGCCAAAGGAGTACTGCTAGTGAAGTTCATGGAGCATGGTTTGACCATTTCGACCATTTCAAACGTTGTAAGACGTTATGACAAGTGCCTCAATTTGAACGGCGATTATGTCAAAAAGTAATGTAATGTAGTTTTTTAATGTGTATAATAAAAATTCTGTATCTGCGAGGGTCTTTCATTGATAACCAAATGGACGTTTATTTCCGAATTGCTCTGGTATATTAACATTTCACCTAGATTAGTAAAATACAGTTAAATATAAATGTTAAAAAGATCTATGTTCAAATATAAAATGAAAATAAAGATCAATACTAGAGAAAATTTCTTACTGGAAAAAGACAATAGGATGAGTTTTTAGCAAACTCTAAAACTTAACAACATTAGGGCCTATTGTTCCAGAGAAGATGAATTAGATGCAGAATTCCTTTCTTCTGAACGCATTTTCAATGCTTCATAAAATGAACAATTTTAGATTACTACATGTATTAAATCTATTTGCTATCATCCTCTCCTCCTCTGTTTCTGCAAGTCATCTGTAATAAGACTGTACATGGTTGAGAATAAAACATTAATGTTAGATTTAACCTAAATAGCTTTCTCTCATGTCTCAATAATCTTAAATTTAAATTCCTGTGTTATTAGTACTGATAAAATAAAAGAGATAAAATATAATTATGATGATTTCAACTAAGATAATTTCATGTTACTTACCGTAGGCATCCTTTCTTTCTCACCAGCATGGAACAATTTAGGAACAAAGACAGATGCTCCATTTTCCTCCTCCTTTACCATTCTTACTAATGAAGCTTGTATTATATGTTGATGCAAATATGAGTTAGATGTAACATTCCTTTCTTCAGAACCTATTTTCAATGCTTCATAAAATGAACAATTTTAGATTATTACTATGTATTAAATCTGTTTGCTATTGTCCTTCTTTTTGTTTCTGCAGGTGTGGAACGCAGTCCAAGTGAGATGGATGATGGCTATGCTGATGTTACTAGCACTATTTTTTCTCCATACGCTACTGGCATACTGCAATACTCAGAGGAGGACTTCAATAAGCTGATAAATTTAACCCACTATAATATTCTGAACAATGAACATATGATTCTTCAGGCTTTACGGACAGCAATTGAAAGAAAAAAGCAGCAGAATTTCCGTTCCTCTTTTTAATCCTTTCCAGTGCTTTCCCCATATTTTCTAAACAGGTTTAATTTCTTTGTGCTACTGACCAGTAATAAACACATGGGAAATAGGATAGGCATCAGATTTAGAAAAATCAATTTGGAACAGAATTTAGAGCTGTCTGAGTTGAAGGAGAGCTTACTGAAATTAATTCAATCCATTTGATGTGATCAATACATTTATTTGGCATGTCTTCCCCCTTCAAAAGTGCTTTATCTTTGTTCATATGCAAATATGAACAGATATATTGAGAGATAGTGCTCAGAAATTATGTATTCACAAGCTGCTTTACAAAATGGAATTAGAATAAAAATTTAAATTATAGTCCAGCATATTATAAGCTTTATTGAAGTACAGTCATTAAAGGGCAAAGGATTCTGAATTTCAAGTTTGGGACTTACTTTATAAATTTGAAGATGACTGTACTAAGTGAAGATATGTATTTATATAACAGATATGCGGGTATGGATAAGATACACTTACAAATCAGACATAGATTTTAAAACCGAAATAATGATTTTGCAACTGTTCAGCACCCAAACTGCACCTGTGAATTTCTGATATTTTTATTTCCATCCTTGCCCAAGATAGGCTGGAATCATTATGAGGGAGGGGTCATCCTGCCCAAAATTTCTACCACCAGAAATCCTGTTTTTTCCAACAATTCTTGAGAAGGTTGAGTATCCCAAAGATGCTTTTCCAAAAGGCAACTGGATTTTCTTGACTTTTTTCCTTGAAAACATTTCACTTCTCATATAAGAAGCTTCTGCAGTTCAGCTGAGTACAGGTAGTCCTTGACTTACAACAGTTCATTTAGTGACTATTTAAAGTTACTACGGCATTGAGAAAAGTGACTTATAACTATTTTTCACACTTATGACCATTGCAGCATCTCCATGGTCATATGATTTACATTCAGATGCTTGACAACCGACTCACATTTATGACTAGATTCACACAGAGCCTGTTTGGTGGCATTTGTGCTACCAATATTTGGGCAAAGAGAAGTAGATTTCATGGCTGTTGCTCAACTGAGAAACACTTGGTTGCTATCAGACAGGAGCCACCTGTCACACGAGTTATTAGGAACAGAAAATGTGGAAATGCCCCAAATATATATCTAAAACTACTAGCCAAGAGGCAGAAAACATGGAGTTATCTGGGGTTTGAGTAGATGCTGATGAGCAGAATATTGGAGAAGATTTGTATATAGTACTTTGTTTTCAAAAAGAGTTTAAATGTTGCATGTAACCTTTTTTTTAAAAAATCCAGAATAGTCTTTGATTTTCAAAAGCTACTAATGTGACTTGCAATGTCAGGGCTCATTTGATTTTCAGAATAGCTTCCTGTCTCAGTTTGGGGGCTGGCATTAACTTGTAAAGACTTTCATCATTGGGGCTACAGATTCTGAAGGAAGACCAGTTTATATTAAGAATACCTCAATGAGGGATTGCCTGGTGTAAGATTAGTGAGATATTCTTGGGACTGACTGAATTTTATTTTCAATGCCAGGCAAAGAATTGTTTATCCTCTCAGCACTTTTAATCAATTATTGTATGAATCTCAAACAAATCTTAGAAATTTCTGCTGCTTAGAAACTCCTCAGGTTCCTCCATTTATTGTTTTACCATTTGTGTGTCATGTCTCTTAATTATTATATTGTTTGTTAACTTATTCAAAATATCATTAGATGCTCTTAGTATGTTGTAAACCATTCTGGGAAAACCTCATTTTGTAGTATACACTATAAATCTTAAAAATGAAAATAAAATAAATCTGCTTTATTATTGTCTTGCTTATACAAATCAGTGTTTTATCATCAACATCTTATTGTTCTCCTATACTGAAATAAAAAGATAATGGATCTGGATTCAGTTCCATAGATTGACTGATTGATTGCAGGGAGCATGAAATTCATAAAGGTGTACAAAAAGAAAACATGTATATGGGACCCACCTGATTTTTCCTGAAAAAGCTAAGTTGGGTCTGACTTAGTTAGTGCATGGATAGAGGAACAATCTGGGAAGGCTAGAGTTAGACTGGGAAGTTAAAAATGCTTTGTGGGAAACGGCAATATGAGTAGCCAGTTCAGTGGTGGGATTCAGCCAGTTTGCACCAGTTTGGCAGCTAATTTTTTGTTGTCCAGGCCCAGAATGGACTTCCGGAAGCGGCATCCACATAGAGAACCGATCATTCACCTATTTGAATCCCACCACCGAACCAGTTCCATAATGAGTGAGCTACAATGTTGTTTGTTGCCTCAAAGACAACCTTTGTTGTTGTTGTTGTTAATTGCGAAGTCGTGTCCTTACCCATCGCGACCCCATGGACAACGTTTCTCCAGGTCTTCCTGTCCTCTACAATCTTCTGGAGTCCATTTAAATTCACACCTACTGCTTCAGTGACTCCATCCAGCCATCTCATTCTCTGTCGTCCCTTTCTTCTATTGCCCTCAATCTTTCCCAGCATTAGGCCCTTCTCCAGTGAATCCTTTCTTCTCATTAGGTGGCCAAAGTATTTGAGTTTCAACTTCAGGATCTGGCCTTCTAAAGAGCAGTCGGTGTTGATCTCTTCTAGGACTGACCGGTTTGAACGCCTTGCAGCCAAGGGACTCGCAGGAGTCTTCTCCAGCACCATAGTTCAAAGGCCTCAATTCTTTTGCGCTCAGCCTTTCTTATGGTCCAACTTTCAGACAACCTTACGTACACTTTTTAACACTTTTAACAAAACAGATTTTGATCACTTTTCACTATCTCACAGAGAGATTAACAACATAACCAAATATATGACGAACATTTTGATCAATCTACATTATAATCCAGTGATAGGTACAGTAGGAGATGCAAAAGGAATTTTGCAAGATTTTTTTCCTGCATCAGTTTGTTATTTGTTAACTGGTAGATTGATTTTCCAGACAGTGGAATAGCTGTAAAATATGCATGAAGATCCCCAAAGCCAGTCACAGCAAAGAGAACAAAAGTCCTAATCAGAACTCATTTATCACAGCTTTCAGGTCATAAAAAGCCCAGCTTTTATTCACTAAGGAAATTTTGATAAGGAATTGCCAGTTAGGGCTCAGGGGAAGAGGACTCCCAAAATGCCAAATATTGCTTTAGTTCCACTTGCTGAGGTCTTGCTTGCTTGGATCTATCCAATTAAGGTTTGAGAATCACATGTGTGTTAGAGGAGATCCCATGTTTTATAATTATGCACTATTCTGATGTGAACATGCTGGAGGTATGCTGTTTATCAATATTTGAATGAATCATTTTCAACAGAGTGAAAGAAAAAGAATTTTCCAGGAATCTAGTAAAAATCCTTCCATTATTTTATATATGATTCACATTTTTCTTTTTATTAAGATTTATATTACATATGAGGTTTATACTGTTGGTGATTTAATCAAAACAAATGACTTATTAAAACTGTATAACATCAGACTACCTGATTTTTTCTTTACGTCATTATTTTTTAAAAATAATGCAAAAAAGAAAAAATATTACACACCCAAATGCCACAAATAGAATTTTCCTAGCACTTCATATATCACAGATATGAATCTTTTTAAGTACTTCCCAATTAGAAAGTGAAATTTGAGGCAATGTATATTTTACATAGTATTGCTCTAATTATTAAAAGTTTCATCGTTCATATTCAATATGTCTTATATCAGTAATTTGGCAAGCAAGTGTTAATATGTCTAAAAATAATAAGAGTACCTCTTAAAATAATTCCTTTTCTACCTGTTCCCCCCCCCCCCGGCAAATTTTTGGAGAGGAAAACAGTATGAATGGCAAATTCAAACAGAGTCAGAATCCTATTCTGTTTTTTGTTAATTCAAAGTAGCAATGGCAGTAAGATGGCATGGTAAATATTACAATGGAATTGTGCTTTTCATTTTGCTTGTATCTTTTCCATTAATAAAAACATGCAGAATTTGCAGATGTGTATATATTTAGAATTTTATATAGGAATAGCATCTCAAAATGGTTGCAAATTTCATATGGCTAAATATATAACATGAAAAAGCCAGGTCAAATATACTTTGGATATACAAATTTCTTTGAAATGACACACACAAACAAATTACAGCCATTTTTCCAGTCTATAGTTATAGTTGTAATAAGATGTTTTATTTTCCCATCTGTAAAGTACAAGTCATTCCAGTGCTCTGTCTTTAAACTATGTTGAATTCCCTCTGCCTGTAATAATTTAATAGGCAATTAATTAAAAACAGGGAGCTCCCAAAGAGGCCTGAGAATGCCACTATGCTTTCACCAGATGGTATCCCCCCTTTTCCATTCCATCATGCTGTCAGGTGCAAGTAACCAGACCCACATGTGTAGAATTCAAACTAATTACTATATTCTGTATTCTGCCTGTAATACAAAAATCTAGCACTTGCAACAGTCTGTACTTTCTTGTCCCTTTCTTCTTTCTTTTATTTGTGTATTTTTTACAACAACTACAGTAGTAACCAGTAGATGGCACTGTTTATACGTTTGTAGTTGCATCTATGGCATTCTCTATGTCAGACATATCAAACTCATGATGTCACGTGACGTTGTGCAATGTATCGGGCCGGTTTTGCCATTGCCGGCAATGGGGTGGGCGTGGTTCCACGTGACACGTTTGGCCTGCAGGCCAGCAGTTTGACACCCCTGCTCTGTGTCTTTTTCTCTGAATGAAAAAAGTTTCCTGCTTCCTTGTCGCAGTTAAGTAGAAAAGCACATATGGACTGTGCACTGTTTGTTCTGTAGGGTTATATATAGAATTTCTAACACTGCTGTCTTGTTACTCTCCCCATGAAGAAGCATACGTTCTATTGTTTTTGAAGCAGCAGCAGCAGCAGGGTTTAGTCTCTTTCACTGGGAGGAATGGAGAAACAGCAGTTGGACAATCAGTTAATTGATGTACTTCCAGGGATTCTGTGAAGCTTTAGAGAGATGAAGGGGCTAAAAGGCATAGGGGGAGAGTTCGAGGAGATGCCCTGTTGCTGATATTTGAACAAGGTTCCCTCCCCCTGCATTTCTTATAGCAATAGTGTACTCGGGCAGCAGATATCTCATACATTTCTCATTTCTCCCGCACCTAAATCTCCTCCCAATATCTCCTTTCAAAATATTTGGAGAGTACTATCATATGCCATTTCAAAGAGATGTGCATCTCTTGATGACTGAAACATTAATAGACAGCATTGTGCTACTATTGTTGGAAACACTTAGCCTGGCAGGAGGAGGAATCAAGCAGGGAATGAGCCTTGAATCATTGCACAGCTGCAAGAGAACCAGAACTGACCCTTCCCCCTCCCCGATTCCCAAACTCCATGGAACTTTATCTATCTGTTCCCAATGGAAGGCAAGCCGTCTAAGGAGATTTTTGTATTACAGACAGAATACAGTAATTAGCTTGAACTCTTCACATGGGGTTCTGGTTGCTTGCACTTGACATTCACAGATAAAATACTTGTTCTGTCCTAGTCATCTTACCCACAATATCTTCCCATTAACTTTATTCACATTTCAATCTATAGAGTAGTCATTAAGCATTAAATAATCAAGTGATAAGAAATGGTGATGCCCATTACAGCATCCTCAAGGTCATGTGATCAAAATTCAGGCGCACGTATTACGATGGTTGCAGTGTCTCAAAATCATGTGATCATCATTTGCGACTTTCCCAGCTGTAAATTCAATGGGGGAAGCTGGATTCAGTTAGCAACTGGATGATTCACTTAACAGCTGCAGTGATTTGCTTAACTACCATGGCAAAATGGTTATAAAAGTGGGTGAGTCTCACTTAACAACCACCTTGCTTAGCAATGGAAATTTTAGTCCCAATTGTGGTTATACATCAAGGACTACCCATGTAGATCCAACCCAAACTTCCATCATATACTGTTTATGGGACATGAAACCCAACTCTAATAGAAATGGTCAGAGTAATTTAACTGACACTCTCAGGATTGTGGAGTTTTGTACCAGCAGAACACCCAAAAAATAACACCTTGCTGCTTTTGCTTGCGTTGTAATTGGGCACGAAATCTTTCACTTAACAGAATAAGATGTTCTATAGGCTTTCTCAATGTTTTTGTAACCTTTATTGGTATCAGAAACTTGACTTGTCATCCCAAGATGCTATTATTCTCTTTCCCAACTGGTAATTCTTACATAACAATGCATTTTGTCAAATTGGCTTTACCAAAGGTTAGTAATATAAAGTGTGCACCTGATGTATGACTTATATGGTGAGTCACTGCAAGCAATTTCATGTATGTGCAGTTGGTAAAATACCATTCATCCTTGGGAAGGACAAAAGGATGTCCACAGAAATGGTCAAAAATGTCTTGATGGTGGTTATGATCATGCAGTTGATCATAGATAGCCACATCTGCCAAAGGGTGGAGCTTCAGTTGCATAGACACAACTGCTATTTTGACTTGTATGGTCAACTTTCACAGAAGCCCCTGGAAGGACAGATCATCCTACATCTGTATACTGACCATTTCAGGAGTGTGGAGAACATCCAAGCTTTTTTTTTTTAAATGTAGCTACAACTGGATCCAGCTTCTCCTCTTCCACCCTCCTCTTTTTGTCAAGCAGAACTAAATCCTTTGTCTAAGCATGCTATACCTCAGCCATATTAAGCACTCAGTCTATTCCCATTGTCCCTCTTTCATCTACCCCAAAGGCCAGAAGGGTGCTTACAGTGCTCAACCCA